TAAACAAAGAGAAATAATAACAAGGAATTAATAGATAAAGACAAAGAGCAAAAGGAGTCGCTAGTTTTCTTAGAAAGTTACGTGGTAGATAGATGATGAGAAAAAGCTGTTGGTACTTTATAATTAATACTGATTTAGATATTTACTGAGACTTTTAGAGGATATTACGCCCATAGAAAGCGTTAGGCTGTTTGCCGTCAATTCAAGCATTAGATTATAATATGAAGAGGCCCTAATATATGTCATATATCAATAAAATCAATCAGGCAAGAAAAATGTTAAATTATTACGACAGTATCCAAGTCAAAAGCATTCCACAGAGCATAGAGCGTTGCAACCGAGCTCAGTACCACCGCTAGTACCACTTAACTCTCAAAGGTTTCAATGACCTCTATGCTCAATGACTAAATCGTAAGCAATACGGTTTCCTCGCTTTATAGTACTTTCTAAGCTCTATGGCCATTTAGTCCTTACAAAAATTGTTTTGTCTAAATTATTACGTCTTGCATTGACAGTTTAATTTGTGGTTTGAAAGCCAACGTATACATGTGATACCGATTATAATAAAATCAATGAACATACCTAAAGGAAATTGATACACTAATCAATAATCAAAGAGTTGCCTGTTCCTTGAACTCGGACAATTCGAACAGGCACACTCAGTGTTAGACAGCGAGGCTACGGCGAAGTGATCTGGGGGAAGGGGGGCGGAGGACGAGCGGTGCGCGGGGGCGGCAGGGGACGGGGTAGTGTTGCGCAACGCATTACAATAACGCGACATTACGTGCGCGGCGCGGGGTCATGCGCCCGGACCGCGCCTGCGCCCGCGCCCGCGCCCTCTACACCTCAATTCGGGGAACGGTGACTTAACACACCCATTGTAGTTATAAGATTGTCACATCACATCCCTGCCCCCCACCCCACTTTGCCCGACCCTGTCACTGTGCGAGGGTCTGCAACATTGCAAACGTATTAAAGATTTAAATGCACGTGTCTTATTCAGATTATAAAGTGTCCAACCTTTTTTCATGCATGTTTTAATACTGCAACATCAAATTACTTCAAAGATGTCTAAATGTACTACGGAAATAGATTTTTACTATGTATTTTGTACAACTGGGACTCGATTGAAAGCTGCGTTGTAGGACACGAGGGTACATTGACCGTTAGACTTCGATGTTGTCGTAAAAATCAATGCCAAATAGCATGTGAACACTGGATTCATTATTCAAGCCATGTTTTAACGTTGATGTTTGAATAGGTTATATGATTTGAGGGACGCAAGCGCAGCTCTCCGCTTCTATAAATAGACTTTCCCACGCTTAAGGTGCTTTTATAAGTTCTCTGGGTGTGATGTCATCGCTCTATCACTACGTTCACCTTATTTGTATCGTTGCGAGGAGATAAATTGCCTTTTTAAAAATCAAATCTATTCCAATAAACATCAAATACTATATATAACTTCGATAAACATCAAATATTATATGTACACCACTATCCTTCCAGTAGGAAAAATAAGATTTTTATAATCAGCACTGCATACATATTCCAATAAATTTCGCGCCAAATTTAATTGCGCCAAACTGATTTTTGTATGGATCCGTCACAGACACTGCGATAAGTTTTTTCTAACATAAATGTCAAAGACATCTCGTAGTAGTCAGTAAAAGATGGTGATCCAGTCGTCCGTGCAAGGATGCGCGGGCGACGCGCGTTTCTTTTTAGAAAGTGGCACGTGTCGGGGTTGTTCACCCTGCGCGATCCGGGTCAGTCGCCGCCCGCGCCGCGCGTCTCCCCGCCCACCAGCTAGGTACCCGCCGCGCGTATAACACTAGTCCTTGATAAGGAAACTCCATTGACACCATAATCGAGTGGAACCGGGTCGACGGATAAGGCACTCCTTGTCGCGTCACGCCGGTATATAGGACAACTTAGTAATCGCTCTAAGAATATCTCTGTTCTGTACCCTGCAATTTATTTTTGTAAGGATTGTGTTTGTTGACATCGCGCGTAGGCGATAAAATCTTTATCTTTACCATGACGTTGTCAAACTTTGTGATATCATTTCAATTACAAAATTAAATACTACGGTATTGTTTCATTTTCACTCAGACCCTATGACAGAGTACACGTGATACAGGAGTATGTAATCAGCGTGTTGAAAGCAGTAAATAAACATTGGATTTTATTGAGAGAAACATAATCCCATGCCACCTGTTTTTGACTATATTTATTTTATTGATAAGCAGGCATTTTCTCTTTGACAACATTCATTGGATTTGTCACCTGAGATGCAATAAATAAAAAAGAAGAATAGTATTCGTTCAAAGGTAAAGAAAGAAATAATTTTGAAATTAAAACGACTATTGTAAATAAATATCCGTATCACGAATTCTTCAGCACGTTATTTGTATGAAGGTTTAAAATAATATAGATAATGCTGTGAGTTGTTTAGACCAATATTTTCTAATATATTGATTAGCATTTATAAGCCCAACTCAAGCCAAAATTCAGCTATCTATAAAGAAATCTGGAACTTACTTCCTAACTAAAGCGTTTAGTTTTTTCATACTAATTTATTAAATGTTTAGGGAAATACTCTTTTTAAGGTCTCAAACTCGTTAATCTGTTAATCATTTATTAACAATCTGCTTAACGGATTAACCTTTAATTTAAAAAAAGTGTTAACGCTTTTATTAACTTCCTCAAATTCAACTTGGGTTAACTTAGTCTTTTAATTATTACTTTAGACAGATATTGACTTAGATATGTAAGATTTAAATGCCATTAACGCGCCCAGATCCAGCTTCAATTGTAATTTAAATACTGAAGTGTGCATCATTCTACTACGTAATATGTACGTAACGGAAAAATGTTTATTTTAATATATTTATGGTTCATTTGAAAGAGTAGCCAAAAAGGATGTTTTTGTTATTGGATAGATAAATGAACAAGGAAAAATAAATTTTAAAATACAAAAGACGGAAAATGTCAATGCAATAAACATTCCTCAATAACAATAGGGATGCACATTTATCTTACTAATATTATAAACGCGAATGTTTAGATGGATGGATGGATGTTTGTTTGAAGGTATCTCCATTACGGCTGCATGGACCCCGCTTGAATTTGACATAGATGTAGAACATAGTCTGGAAGAACACATAGGCTACTAATATTTTTTTTTATTTTCGCGTAGACGGAGTATCGGGGACAGCGTGTCTGTTTAAAACTGACGTTTCAATGTTGATCTTAAAATTAGTTTATGATAAATAATTAAACATTCTTTAAAATATGAACAAAAGACCAAGCGGCCAGCCGCACCAAGAGCACAATAAAGAATTCGGTAGATTTATGGTCTAGGATACGCGCGCGCTCTGTGAAGAAATTCTTGGTTTGTTTACTAAACAATAGTACAAGAAAAAAACGAGACGTAATGAGGATTGAATATATATTTAAAATAATACTTACATGTTTGTTAAATCGCAACTAATACGTGAAATAAGTGTAGACACAATAAGTGTCAAATTGTTAATTCATTATAGAATGTGTGTAATTCGTGTGTTATTCATTAAAAGATCGAAACAAATAAATGTGAGTTTAATTCTTATCACTATTTATTTTACCTATTTCTCTCAGCCAAAAGCAATGGAAGTTTAATATGGTTAAGTTTTAACGCTTTAAACGAATTTAACTTTTTAATTAACGAATTAACGATAAACGAACTTAACTTTTGAATTAACTGTACCTGTGCCGTCTTTACATTTCTCTAATGACTACTAAAAACGAAAAACCGTTAATTTTTGGTTGTTTAGGGCGTCAATGGTAGATTATAACTTTGTGTGATCATGTTCGTTGTCTTCTTTTTCTCTTATTATATTTGTGTCATATGATAGTGTTATTTATTTTGTTGTTCTATTGAAGTATACCACTGAATATATAATGCTTCAAGGCATGTCACATTGTTATTAATTTGTCGTGTAGAATACAGAACAAGAATTTTATTGTTACACTTCACATAATCTAGTCTATTATCATAATATTAAAATAATAGAAAGTCATAAAAGTATAATAAAATGTGAAGAATAACTCTATTCACAATTGATAACAGTTTTAACCACATTGAAGCGATATTTATAAAATAAACTTGCAGTTGCTCGCGTCTTCGTTTGCTGTTTACTTTTTCGTTTATTATATTAGTTTATTTTTATAAAAAAACGTATAAAGTCACTGGCAGTTTAGGAATTTAACCATTAACAAAGCCGAAAACCAAATAATGTTAATAAGAGTTGTTAAAATCTTGCGAGCAACATGTCTGTCGTAAGATATGCTGTGGTCCCTATCTTATCAATTTGGTCTATATAAATTCGTAACTAGGCCATGTCTTTAAGTTAAATGAATTTAAAAATATGAAATCTTTTAAGTCTTAGTCAGTTTGAAACTTTTAGAAAGATATAATTTAGAATTACAAATGAGCGCATTATACTTTTTATTGAAAACGGGATTTAAAAAAGCGTATTTGTTTTAAATCGAACACAAGATTCAGAAACATAAAATCTTGAACTGAGTGGAACATACAGCGCCATCTCTTAATAAAGACTACAAACACAGAATATTTTACAATGCCGTTAGCTTGGCACTATGTATGTAAATCATTGCTTTGAATAATTCCCACCTATGTTACTTCTTTGGGAAAGAAAAATAACTGTTACAAAACTGCATTATAATTGCGTATAAAGTTAAATAAACAGCCATTTGATATTTTTCAAAGAAATATTTTCAAATATACGATGATTTAAAACTTACGCAGCATTACTTTTTAAAATTCGAATATTCAAAACTTTTTTTTAAATAGGCGATCGATAGGGACTCCTCGGGATTCACTTATACATACATGGTATTCCGAAAATATTTTTTTTTATTTGGTATTTAGAATTCCTACTACAGACTAGATAGGCAGCAAACCATACAAGCCTTTACACAAAACATAACATCTACGTTTAAGTTTCTAATTAGCACATTTAATCTATAATTATGTGTCCAAGTCCAGTTATCTTAGATATAGTCTTTTCTGTTACACTTCACTCTTTTATCACATCTTAATTCACATATTAGTATTTCTCTACAATTTCTAGTTCACTTTTTATCACTCAAACGTATAATTTTAGCATTTCATATGCTGTCCATCTTTGCAGCAGAACTCCTTGCCAGCAGAGAAATGAGTTGGAGTCCATTCATCGCCGCAATTCTTGATGAAAAGGAAAGCCTTCTCTCTGTGAACATCTCTTTCTACCGCACCGCATATCACAGGACCGGCTTTTGGTAAATATTTTAATATCTGAAATAAATAAAAATAATTAAAATTCACCACAAAAATGTTAATAATTATACGTAACAAAGGTCTACCGGTGATTAATCTTTGTTTTTAAATGATATGAGAATTATTTAATATCCTTAATTATCTAAGACATATCTATACAGTTTCTACACAAAACATAGATATTTAAGTATAGAACTAGAAACGGCATAAACATTAATTCATCATCATTATTAACATTAGTACTTACCACATCAAGACACTTGCTGATGCAGTGCTTGTGTCCACTGCTGCAAGGTAAGCTAGGCGAGTCGGTGTCGTATGTCACCACAGGCTCTCCAGTCGGCGGGCCACGCGGTCGCCCTCGTCGACCCTCCCGCACACCCACCTGGAGAGACATGAACACGCCGCACTGACACGGCTCCAGCTGAAAAACAAATACTTTTTTTAATAAACAGAATTTCAGCACATACTGTGTATAAGGAAAAGTGGTCCGAGATCGAATATTCCGTTCGTTATAGTATCAAAAATTACTATGATAGAGTAATGAAACTTTATACTTACTTCACCGTTATCTTCATCATATTGTTCTTCAGTTGCTCTGATGCTTTCGTCTTGACTTCGTTTTAATTTCCTCCAGCCATCAGTGGATACGGCCAAGCTCAAGGTAGCGAATACCAAAACCCATTTGCCTAGATTACCCATTTTATAGAAATAATTCCTGAAATATAAGAATAAAGATTAATTCTTTTTCTATTTCTAAAATTTCAACGCTTTTCATGCCAATAGCGACGAACTTAAATACAGTTTTATAATTAGGAATCGAAAGATTGTCTTTTCAAAATTACTAGCCATCCTACTCGTTTTAATAGCTATAAGATTTAAAAGAAAGAAATTTATTTATTAAATAACCTATAAAATTTTTACTTACCTTTACTCAAGTCTAAATCTATCTTAAAAATATTTTCTCACTATTAGATATAACCAGGATGACTTATCACTACTTAATGAATTTAACTTCTTAAAGTAACAATATATAACTCATTGCGTTTATTAATTTTACTACTAAAAATGCAGATTCAGATAAATATATTAATTGAACGTGAGTTTGTGCAACTGTAGTATAAAGATTTGTACGTGACGGCGAGTAATTATCGGGATAGTTGGTAGATAAGAAATCAAAATAACAAAAGAAAACGAATATTTAACATTTTAATTTCTTATCTTATCGATAAATCGTGATCTTTTGGATTAATTGATGGGATTAGCTCGTGATTTATACTAGCAGAGAATTTTTTTAGATAATTTATTCAAGCTATCAGGTCTTTTAAACCCTTTTGATAGACCTTATAATAAGTAGAGAACACAAAATGTTTTGATTTAGTTTGAGACTAGGCAAAATGTATTGTAATTTTTTTTAATATAAGAGAAGGGGGTTAACGAGCAGCGGGAACACCAAGGTGTTCAACGACACCTATGGACATCAGCTATTGCTGATGCGGTGACCAGAGGAACCGCAGATGCGTTGCCGGCCAAGTTTGCATCTTGCAGTTTAACCAGACATTTTGCCTAATCGGATATAACCTTCTAGTTAAATATTTTATAAAAATTATATTATAACTATTATATATCGCCTTTTAAATTTGTAAATATAAGGTTATCTATATTTAAAAATTAATGTTTTAGTCGTTAAAAGTATTTAACATATGTGAATTTTACAATAATATATATTTTATTCAATATCTGTCTAGGTGAGCTCTTTAAAATCAGTGAAGCTTAAAAGCAGATTCCTGTAGAATGTTGCCAAGTCACGTTACTCTATTATAAACGCTCAAACTTGGCGTCGAGCCTAAATAAAACCTATGCTAAAAGCCAGATTTTTTCAGCGTTTTTCCAAGGTAAAGTACCGGAATTGAGAAAAGGAACTCAACTCCGCCGACAGTATTTCCATAAGTAAAATGGTATTATATTTTATGACAAGTACAGAGATTAAAGATTTACGATTTTTATTCTCAAAGGCTCTAACTAAAATGTAAACTGTACGAATGTATGTTTTAATCGATTTTTATCAATCTTAATAAGAACAATGAAACAAATAAAATGTAGTATACATTTTATTTGTTTTGAGTAAATCCTGTCCTTTAATCACCATTTAAAATATTTACATTTCTGGAATTACAAACTGCATCTTCATTATTTAGTTCGCGCAAAAGCTACATACGTTCTAGACAAATGCGCGTCCATTACGAAGACGCTAGTAACTCGATTGATTCAATCAAGCTTCTCTAGCCTTGGTCACCCCTTATCCTCAATTTATCTAAACGGACCTCGCGTTCGAGTTGATGTTTCTTTATCTCTTATGTTGCCCAAAGTACCAATATTATTATGTGTGTCAATCCTTTAAAATTATTCAAAGCACCCTTATTAATGTACCCTTTAAAAATTCTGGATACTAAACACTGTCTTAATTTAATCACAAGAGTTTGTATGCTTAACTAACTGTCGCACGCGACTCCGTCCTCGCGGAATAAGAAAAACTTAATGAGTAGCCTACGTGTTCTTCCAGACTATGTTCTATATGTATGCCAAATTTCATCAAGATCCGTTCAGCCGTTCCGAAGATACCTTCAAACATCCATCCATCTAAACATTCACATTCATAATATTAGTAAGATTTAAATAATAATTGTCGTACTCCATATGTTGAACCTACCTTTTCCTATGCGTACCCTTTGGGTGAAAATCCTAAAAGCAATAAATTCATTTCTCTGCCTGACCTAAAATCGTAATTGATCGCTATAAATAAGTAATTTTCACCTATCAGATATTTTTACCAATGCCGACACCCGAAGGTATAAACTCTAAAAGTAATCCTGAAGTTTTAGAGCTCAAACGTGCATAGTTCCGAAATAAATCTCGCCAATCCGCAACTGAAACAACCGCAATGCAGTATCGGGAATAATCGTTTCATACTCTTTCTAAAATAATATTTGTGAACAATGATACGTCCCCACTTAGGAGTGCAGCCTACCCTAAGTTAGGGGTGACAAAGCCATAGACAACCCCGCTGGCCATACCTTTCTCCACATGAGTGTAAAATAAAAATAGTTGTCCGCGGTAGCAACATTATTCAATTGGCTTAATTGACAACCTAGCTCTGAAGTGTTAACATAGAACATTGGTAAGTATCACAAGTCAAACAGGTCTACACTATTTTTATATAGGTTTTTGGGTCACTGATATAAAAATGAAAATGAGGACAATCATGTCATGAAATCTGGGTCAGTGGATTTTGCAGTAATCGTTACGGAGGCAGTGAAATTGCAACCGAACAAAATAGACGCCTTTCCTGTTAGGGATATAGGTTTCTTCTTCTTTTTAAGATTACCTGCTTATCATTGATAGCAAACTTTTTAAATTAGATTGTCTTTGAAAATAATTAGAGTAGGTAATATACGAATGACTTAAAACTCTTGTTGAAAAAAAAGAAATGTGAAGATCAAATTCGCCATTCAACAAATATTTGAGTAACTCTATTCATTAGTATTTAACTTTCAATTTAAGACGCACACGAGGCCTCAGAAAAAATGAAATGATGAAATCTCCGTAGTTATACATCCAAGTTATACGAAGTTTGTTATGGAAATCGAATAAAACACCAGGTTAAATTATTAAAATTCACAAAATAAAGGACAGAGATGATTTTTTATTTAATCATGCTTAGCATTACATTTGAACAAAATTGAACATTTCATATTGAAAACAACCAGCCTCTAAAATCAATAGCTTCTAGAATTTTTTGACAGCTGTCAAAGATATGCAAATATTTATTTTAAAGGAATAGTACTATAAGATCACTAACTTATTGCTTGGTGAAATTAGTGTGGCCAATGTAGGCTATGTAACCGTGTATTATAGTTTTCACATATCTTGGCGGATCGTAACTTTGTGCGAGTCGCTGCGCAGAACACAATATTAGGTATAACGAGTTGCGGGCATTGTGCGGCGCACCGATGACCTTGAGCTGTCGAAATATTTGAAAATAACAATACATTACCACAATGAGTTATTATTTGCACATTTTACTATAAACAAAACAGTGACGATAAAACAATCTTAACAAACAGTAAAGATAACATATATGTTTTAAAATAATATCATTAATACTGAATGTAAACAAAAATAACAAAAAAAAAACTGTTACAATTATTATGATAAAAAATTATCCTTATAATTATCGTTAACGGTAATGAGTTGTACTCTTAAACCATTATTTTAAAACTAAATTACAAAATCTAATAAATTATGCTTTATTGAATATAGCTTTTTGTATGTTGGAATCTATTATAAATAGCTCACTTTAATATTTTATTGTACTTTATTATATAATTCTATTTCATTATATCAAATCATAAATGATTTTTTATAATTTTTGAAACCTTGAGGCAAGAAAATTGTGAAAATTATCACATCTGTTTGAAGAATATTTTATATAGTGCAAATAAGAATATCAGTCTTAAATTATTGACTTAAATTTTATAAAACGGACAAATTTCTGTTTCATTTCATGTTTAAGAAATAATTTAAAATGTAATTAAAACTGTATATATTTATGTAATGTGACTTTATTGGCACATATTTAATTATCACCATCCCTTATACAATATTGATAGAATATTCATAAAAGTATGAGTTACCATGATACAGACCTTAATTTTAACTGTAACTAGGCATTTCCACTGCCAAAACATGTCATGCAAACAGACATGTTTTTTACATGAGTTTTAGTGGAAATCCACAGCAACTGATCCTTAATATCTAAAATCACTAGTTAAATGTTTATGAGCTAGATTTTGTAATAAATTATTAAACAACTCTTACAGCTATCTCAACAGTCTTTGGCTAATATTAATTTAGCCTCACCTTCAAACACAACCTTCTTTTCCTCTTCGACGACACAAAAAAATTTCACTTTTAAAATTTTTCTCACATCAACCAACTCAACACTTATAGTTAATTTTTCACCAACAAAACATTTGTTGGGAAATTTCATGGTTTGAGATACTAAAATTGTACCTGGTCCTGGTAAATGTGTACCAATCAGTCCAGCTACAAGACCATTCAATAATGCACCATGTACAATAGGCCGTTTATTGCCATTATTTTTGTGTAGATGATTATGATCGCTTGTGAGATTTGAAAAAGTATCCAAGTCCTTTTGTGTGAGTGTTTTCTGTATACGAATTTTATCACCCGCTTTAAATGATACACTATTAAATGTTGATGTGTGTAATTTACAAATCTTTTGATAGTTTTTATTATTCATTGCTATATATGGAAATCTATTTGATAACATTTTGCTTTTTTAATATTCAATTTCAATATCTTTAAATACGCTGTATATTATTTATATCTTTAAGATAATTTGCAGACATCTTGATGAAATACTGTTGCTAAATTTGCAATGACTTTTTCTTCACTTGATTTTAAAATTTCTGCATTTTGAATTATCTCACTATTGAATAACTCTGGCTTTCCCAAGGAATTGTGTATTTGAATAATAATAGATAAAGTGGATGCCACTATACCTGTGTTACCACTCTTTAAAAGACGAGGCACAAGATTCAATATACCAGAATCTAAGATATATGTAGTGTTCAAAGGATCTGAAATGGAAAATGGCACATCATTAGAGATATTATATATTCCAATCATATCAAAATTATGTACAATGTTACATTGCAATATGCATTCATTTAGGGCTTAAGTAACATTTATTTATTTATTTATTTAACATAGATTTTTAACAACAAAAACTACATTAAAATGTAAGCTTCCTCTTTATTAAACCGTTTAAAGATTAGAGGTTAAAAATTGTTGTTTTTAAGATGCAGATTGTGTGGTTCGAAATTTGTTTTTATAATGCTTACCCAGACATAGATTGCTAATACCACCACAGGCGAAATTGACCAGTTTATCGTTAGATTCATTCTTTAAAACATAAAGAAAAATATCCAGTGCGCCTACATCACGTATGAAGCAATAATTTATAGGATCGTATGCAAAATTCGCTAAATTGGCCAACACTTGACATTTCGCATCTGCAAACAAGCGTGTTAGGATTAATTATGAGAAAAAAGTACAACTTATTATTAATATTATACAAATTAAATATGCGATAAAACATACCAAGAGAACTTGAATTCAAATATTCATCTACCAAAAGTGATAAATAATTTTCACGATCTGTGCCATTCTCCGGAGTACGTTTTCGAAGCTGAGATTTTGTACTGAACATTGATTTTTGAAAACCTTACAATCCAGGATCAAATAATTTCCTTAGAGAATTACAAACTTTTATGTTAAAATATCATCTTCACTTCATCTGCGAATGCAAATTATTACAACAAAAATAAAACATGAGCCGTTACGCCATTTTGTTATTTTCTCAAGTTCGCAGATAAACATTGGATTGTGATCACAGTTTCACAGAATACAATTTGAGGAAAATAAATAAGACATGCCTTGCAATTAAAATGTTTGAATCGTGCTCTGATTTATATGATTTCCAATAAATTCAACAAGAGTGCAATTTACTCAAGAATAAAACAAAGGTTTACTTTTTTTAATCTAGCTCGTGGCCACATGTCATTGGTGGCCGTGGCCATGTCATTTTTATTTGACATTTTTGACAAACGACAAAACGGAAGAGAAGACGTACAGTTGGGTTATAAACTAAAACACATGTATGATGAATTGATAAAATAAAATGATATAAAATATGCATTAATCTGTTATGTGGGAAGTGTTTACTGAGTGTAATTATATTTTGTTAAATAGTTTTACGTAAACTTTCACAAAATGAGTGTAACTCCGTATATTACCGGTATGTTATGAGCATATCATATCACTACCATATTTGCCTTAAATTATAGCGAAAAGAAGGTTACTATTGTCATTTGGTTTCAGGCTTAACGAACAAAAATCTCTTCCTAGTGGAATTTCAAGAACCTTATACAGAGAAAGTTCTAAGAGATGAAAGTACCCCAAACATTCGAAGTATAGTTTACAGCCCCAAGGGCACGTATCTTGCTTATAGAACTGATAAAAAGTAAGTATAACTACATATTGGTTTACAATACAATCATTTTTTTTAAGTTATCGTTCTAAGAGTTCAATTGTTTATATTGTTTTTTGCAACAGTATGATGTTAATAAAGTGTTATATTTCAGGGCTGAGATAATAAAATGTGCTGACTGGTCTGTGGCTGCAACAATCAATGGAAATGTCAAGGATATGTTTTTCTCCCCCTTGGATAATTATTTTGCTGTTTGGGAAATGTTCTTGATTACAAAAGATGATCCACAGGTACACAATGATTGTTGAATTATTATGAATTTTTAAAGTTTATAAAAACTAAATAATTGTATTTATTTTTTAGGGCAAACCAAATATGCACATTTATAAATCAGCAAATGGGGAGAAACTTACAAGTTTTGTACAAAAGCATCAAACTGGCTGGTTTGTGCTAATTATTTGAAAACGTACATATTTTTACAATACCATAGTTAGTAACCTATATAAAATTTTCCATACAGGGAACCACAATGGTCATCCGATGAAAAATTATTTGCTGTACAATTTGGTGGTAAAATATGGATATATCATGATGGAGATTTTACAAAATATAATTATCAGTATCAAGCTGAAAAACTAAAATGCTTTAGTTTGTCTCCCAGTCCTGCACCAAACTACTACTATTCTGTTTTTACATTGGGTAAGTGTTTTTTCAAAATACAATCAGTTTTTTTATGTTACATTAAAAATGCTTCCTATCTTACTTCTGTAAGGAAGAAAATCCGACTATATGCTGGTGTACAGGTGCAACACTAGCCGTACTAAAATGTCAACATTTATGTCCACTCACCTATTATTCTGACACTGGACTTTGTAGCAAAAGTGCGCCATACGCGCCAAAGAATTCTAAAAACTAATAATGTCTAAAACTTCTTACTAATATTATAAATGCAAATATTTAGATAGATAGATGGATGTTTGTTTGAAGGGAATCTCCAGAACAACTGAACCAATCTCAATGAAATTTGGCATACATATAAAATATAGACTGGAAAAACACATGGGCTACTAATTATGTTTTTTTAAATACCCCAAGGAAAGAGTCCTAGACAACGTTTTCTATAAAATATAATTGTTAATTTCCAGGCAAGTCAGGGCAGCCATCATTGTGGAGGGTATATAAATATCCACTGTCAGGATCACAAGAGCCCATCCTGAGCCGATCATCATTCCAGGCTGACAAGGCGACCTTCTACTGGAATAGACGAGGCACTAATGTCTTCACTATGACACAGACAGATGTATGTAGACATTTTTTTTACATTAACATGTGCAACTCCCATCGCATTTATTTAGTCATCTCAACACTTAGGTGAGACTGTGGCATAAATTAAAAAAAAATATCATTGAAATATGTTAGTCTTAAAGTAATTTACTTTCATATTATTTGTTAATAGGTGGATAAAACTGGCGGCTCGTATTATGGAAGGCAGACACTTTCTTATGGTGATATAAAAGGCAATGCTGGAAATGTTGGTTTTAGTAAGTCAATATATTTTATTCATAATCTAAAGTACAATTTTTAATTTTAACAACTTGACAGATTAAGAATATTCTTGTTATATTTGAATTGTTTCTCTGCGGTGTCCTATAGGTATTGTACCACAATAGTTTTTTTTTTTTTTTTTTAAATAAAATATTACTTGTATATAGGTAAAGAAGGTCCAATCCACGCGATAGCCTGGAATCCTGGCAACTGGAATGAGTGGGTGGCTGTGTATGGACACGCGCCCGCTAAGGCGACGCTCTTCAACGCAAAGTGCGACCCACTTTTTGAGTTCGGCACCGGCGCTTGGAATGCTATATACTTCCCACCTGAAGGGAATAATATCCTTTTCAATATGATATTATGAGACAATGTTATAAAGATGTAATATAAGTGAACTTAACAAAATGCATAACAATATTTGGTGAAAGAAAAAAAAATGGGTGTTCAGAATTCTGCAAAAAAATAATTTCCTTGGGCTTTTGTAATCCACAGTAACATTTTTTATGTTGTTATTGTTTCACTAAGCAGAATATGATTCCTCTTGAAAAAAAAACCGCAAAAGTAAACCATATTTCAATCATGTATAGTTAAATGTTATTTGCGATAGAAAGCTGTTTAGTCTTCCCTAACGTTTCGTATATGAGCTGGTATATTTCTATAACTCTGTATCACTAGTCCTGTTGGGTGGGTTCGGGAACATAGCGACTGGTCACATCGAGGTGTGGGACGTGCGCGCCTGCCGCAAGCTGGGCGGCTGCTCCGCGCCCGACACCACATGCCTGCAGTGGGACCCGCGCGGGGAGACATTCATCACCGCAACCACCTATCCACGACTTACTGTCGGGAATGGGTATGTATTTCTGCATAAGGTACCATATCTATTAACAATAGTAGTCATAGACAGACAATAGCCGAAATTAACATAATTTATGACTAAACTGTAAGTAGTAAGGCATCATGGTCAAAGTAAGAACTTATGCTTATTTTTTTTAATTGTCTTTTCAGATATAAAATATGGCACTACACCGGTGCTTTAATGCACAAGCGGTCTTGTGTAGAAAAGGAGGTACTGTTATCGATAACTTGGCAGACGGGCAATTTCCCTAAAAGTGAATTGTCCAAAGTCCCTCCCAAGAGCATACAGGAGGCTCCAGCGAAGCCCGCGGCCGCATACCGCCCGCCCGGCGCTAGGAACAAGCCCTCCACCTTCACCCTACACGAGTACGAGAAGCCACATCGACCTGGACAAAATGTTAACGGTATGTATCAAGCCTTCATAGTTCTACTAGATTTACTGTTGGTTTTCGAGGCCGAAATCGCTGTATAAACATATTGGCATCGCTGTCATTATCTTTGGTATTTTGGTCTCGGAAACCCACGGTTAGTAAGGTAGAATAAATATAAATTTTATATACAAAAGGTGGGTGAGAAGTATCTCATGTGATTCTGGAGACATTCTACAAACATACATCCATTCATCCAATCATTTGCATTTATAATATTAATAATTTTCTTTTCAGCTGCGCCATCCAAACAGGCGATAAAGCAGAAAGAGAAGCGCGAAGCCCGCAAGGCGCGCAAAGCGGAGGAGCGCGCAGCTGACGACAGCCCCGCGCCCGCCGCACCCCCTGCACCCCCCGCACACAATAAACAGCCCTTCACCTCCACAGGTGACCCGGAAAAGGATAAGAAGATTAAAAACTTAAATAAAGTTAGTATAGTCAAGTTTGATTAGTACTTACTTAACCTAAAATACTCAAATTTTAACACAATTTAATATTTTATTTACTAACATTTGGATATACATCACATATTGAATAATTTCTTATGTGTGATATGTTAAGCATACCCGGGGTTTGAGTTGTCACGTCAGGCAAATGAGTACTATTATTTCTGATGTGCCAAATTAAATGCCTGGTACTGTAGAATAGTGTCAGGAAACTTCTAAACATCACACACAACATCCTGACAGAGAAGATAATATGATAAAAATCAATGATTGTTATATTTTGTTGTAGAAATTAAGCGACATTGAGAAATTAAAGCAACAAAAAGCGGCCGGCAAAGCTCTCGAACTGAACCAGCTCGCGAAGATCGACAGCGAGCAGACACTGCTGCAGGAGCTGGAGAAACTCAAGTTATGATAACATTGTTATAATGATATATTTTTTGACATATTACAATGTTGCCGTGGCTTTTTAATTCAGTCTTTTTTATATTCACTAGATGGCGCCACTTACGTATTTCTTATCTTTATTTTGTTAACTGTAATGTTAAGTACATTTTAAAAAAGTGACAAATTCTTAATGCAAAAAGCTACCGAAGAAATTGATTTAATAAAAAACTAATATCTTTTCCAGTCTTTACGTTGTCTTTGTCTTCTCGCAAAATGTTTTTCGTTTTTTTTGTGTGTTTGAAGTTGTTTTTTTTTTATATTGCTAATATTATTCAATTTTTAAAAGTCCAATGTTTTTATGCAGACCATAATACATAAAATTCCTGTAATTTTATATGAAAATTAGAACAGCTGTAAAACAGGTAAAACCTTTATGAAATAAAGAATATTTATTGAGATTAGATATCCATATCCATTGCTTCCAACAATGGATATAAAATAAAAATGCTTTATCAGTGGATTCCCACAATTTTCTGATTTATTTGTTGAAAAAAAAGTATATTTTTTGTTTTGTTATTTTGCATTTACTTAAGATATATGTATATTTTTTGTAAGGTAAATACGTCTCATCCGATTGTTGAGTTATATGTAAGAGTAAAGTGTTTAATTAAATGTTTCAAATATAAATTGAAAATTAAAAATGTGTATATCATTTTATGTTTCCCTTTATAGTATCAAATAGTAGACAGTAATGTACTTAATATTAACAAAATCATGTAAATTTGGTCTCATGTATCATCTCCAGGCAATATGATAAATGACCGTAACGGTCAAAGTGGAGAAAAGGTCAGTGGAGTTTGTTACATTTTTATTTCAGAGAAGTAGAATTCTAATGTGGCTGAGTTGCAACAATAAAAGTAATGGTTAAAACAAAATTGTACTGTTTTTATGATATCCAAATTTAAAGTACGTAAAAGAATACTGAATTAAACTTTACTTATATTTTGAATAACGGTCAAAACATTCCATATTCATGACAACAAATATCCAATAATATGTTCTATTTCTGTAATCGATTTCGGTACTATATTTGCATTCACATCGTTCTGGAAACAAACAAGTGGTCCCCCTTCGGAAGTTTTTATTTGCACTCGATAAGATATTGATAATTGTTACCGGAGGTAGAATGTAATGACCAGTCGGCTCCCAGCACTCGGTCTATTGACACGCTGAATACTATTTGTTTACGATTTAACTCTGTTACTGGGGAAGTGAAGTGTAATCGACATATTTAGTGCGTCTCCCTTAAATTATGGATAATTCCGATGAAATAAACGATAGATTACAAACTTTAATTCCTAGTGAAGTAAGAACTAGAAATGATTCTCGTGAGATGACTTCGTCTATAGAGACAATAGTGTTTGATAGTAATTTAATGAAGACGTCGACGCAAGCCGAAGATCTAGCCGCCACGTGGGGTGGACGGTGTTCTTTGCCTGATTCGGGGAGAATGCGCAGAGCTCACTCCTGGTCAGGGGGACCGGCTGACGATAGTACCTCTGAAATAAGAATCTTAAGGGAAAGGTAGGTCTTGGCAGATTGGTTTTTAAATTGTATTTCGTTAGAAGTGTCTTTAAATCTACCCTCAATATTGGAATGATTTTGGAAATGTGTCGTATTTGTATTATGTTACTATTATTATAGATAGGAATGTTAAGTGGGTAATTAGTTGAAGCATAATATATGTATTGTTATGAAGTAGTCGCAATTTGTCAGTGAAAAGATTATGATTATCTTCTGATAAGTGTAGTAAATAATATCGTAAAATATTGCACGCTTGTAAAATGGGGTACGTTATTTATAAAAATATCGTAGTAAAGTTTTTTGTGTTTACGGTAATTATATGTTTGTAATATTTAGAAATAAAATAATATTCAAGTTCAATGACATTATTGATCGAGATTTAAGGCAACCAAAACTCGTTAATCCCCCCTTGAATCTATTTTCCTAGTAACAAAATGAAGTTCACCGCGGGTAGGTCAGCTGGCTGGACCAATTATAAAGTAATGTTATTCGAATCTTATACCCCAGACAACCTAGCATATGAATTCATGCAGCCGGATTCATTTGTTCTTGAACTTTTAGTTTTATTGTTACAATTTTGTATGTTGCAGGTTAGTACGAACTCAAACGCGTCCTCGGCCAAGCGCTGTGCGGCATCTCTCTCGTCGTCAGCGGCTGACGCTGGCATCTTTAGCGCTGGTAGACTTTATGAGCTTCTGTTCTATGAGCATCATGGCGCCGTTCTTCCCGCGCGAGGCCAACGCCAAAGGACTGTCAGATACCATGTGCGGAATGGTGTTTAGCTTCTACGCTGTTGTTATGTTCCTAACCTCGCCGCTGTTCGGGAAATTCGTAAGTACGTTATGTTTATGCATGCAACGATATCGCCCTTTTCTTTAACAACCTTCCTTAGATAAAATGAAGAATTAGCTACTTTGTAGGATTATTAAATGAATAGTTACATTTTAAATATTTTATTGGAGTTACTTGTAGTTAGGCTGTTCCTGGAAGCCATGTTGTGCAGGCATCCAACAAACAGAAACCTAATATCGTATCAGTATCGTGTAGGAATCCCCTCGCCTTTAATCGAGCTAATTACATATAAGTCAATATAACAACGATAAATTAAAACAAGGACTAGCTGTAGCCCGCTACTCCGTCCGCGCGGATTAAAAAAAAACTTAATTAGTTGCGTGTGTGTGTGTGTTCTTCCAGACTATGTTCTATATCTATGCCAAAGTTTGCCGTTGCGGAGATACCTTCAAACATCCATAAATTCAAACATTCGCATTAAAAATATTAGTAAGAAGTAAGATTTAAACTACCTGTGGCCTTGGATCGGTTTGAGAAGGAGAAAACAATCCAATAGTTTATAATGCTTACAATACTATTCTTAGCTTTGATCATGAATCAATGATTTATTTAGTACAAAGGGCTAAAGTGTATCGTAGTCCTATCTTCTCATTGACATTGTAATGGAATATTCCAAAAATACATTCATTCTCGTCTTTACATTCTCAGTTTGTCGTATTGTGGTTATAAATCTGAACTTTATCAGTGAAGTCGTTCATTGAAAACGTTTGATTTGTCTGACGAGTGATATGTCAGAAGTATACGAAATCTTCTTCCCTCTTCTTTTATAATTTACTTTTTTTTGATCCAATGTAAAGCCCGCTATATACATTCAGTTTAAACTAAACAGTCGAACTGTTTACTTAACTAAATTATAACAGTCAATTATAGATGCGTAGTCAGCTTCACGCCAATCTCTTTCCAGCTGCCTGCGATGGGCGCTAAGTTTATGTTCATCGCTGGAATGTTTGTTGCCGGCGCTTGCAATGTTCTATTTGGGTACGTAATCAATTTTTTTTTTCAAGTTCAGTTTAAAATCTCGGTCTTTATCATTTCGCTTTTAATTTTATAAGACGTCCACCGCATGTAAATACTGCCGTTCTATAAATGACCCTTAGTGTAGTAGTTGGTGTAGTTTGGTGACCATTAGTGACCATTATCTTAACACACATTATTTGAAATATGATTATTATAGGGCGACCACAAATTATTTTATATGCATGGCTTAGTTGACTGTAACACAATCTGCGCGTGCAACCTAAGTAGATTAGATTGTGATACTCGCACGCCACTCGTCTACCTAAACTATAACTACAGGTTATAACACCTTGGCGGCGTCTTCGTCTTAATCGTGTTATAGCCACGGTCATACCAACCTTGTACTTAAATAAAAGATGCCGAGAATGCGATCCAGATTATAAAAAAAATAATGCATAACTTATGGTGTCTACCTAAATTGTAGGGTTTGTTGTTGATTTTTGGATTAAATTAATAAAAATAAAAAAGACAGATTCAGATTCTTTACCAAAATAGTCTTAAGTCTCACAATTTTCGTATTTTTGTGCAGTACAACATTTAGATTTAATAACATCTAACCTTTCAGGACCTTAGTAATGGTGCAAGATTCGTTAACATTTACAATCCTGTGCTTCGTGGTGCGTGGCATGGAGGCGCTTGGAGCTAGTGCCTACTCCACCGCCAGCTATGTATTCGTTGTCAACGCATTCCCTGACAGTATTGGCACTGTGCTCGGAATACTAGAGACATTCGTCGGTCTCGGCATGTCCGTTGGCCCAGCGATAGGTGGACTTTTGTATTCGGTATACACTAATTCGTTTCATAATTATATTGCTTTGTTACGTCTTTGTTATTTGCCTCGAAGAGGCATCTGCACTGTTTGAATTGATACGAAAATGTTTAATGTGCTAAACTTTAAAACTTTTAATCTTTAACTGCCTCAAAAACAGTTTGAATATTTACTGTTTTTTTTACTTAGTTTTCTATACTTGCTGGACGATGGTGCCTCTCATGCGTTTATATTTGCGGAGTATAATTATATCAGATATGTTTCAGGTAGATCGGGGGATTTGGTGTTCCATTCTACAGTCTTGGAGTGGTGATGGTGCTTAGCGTACCGATCAACTTCTTCTTACTCTCCGACTGTGAAGGTAAATCTATGTAACTCTTTGGTTGAGTCTCCACAAAAGACTATGATGAGAAATCCTGTAATTTGATTTGCTTGATGTATGCTTTCAGAATACGTCTCCGGTTCTAAAACAGCATCTATTCTACGTTTATTCAAGATACCGTCGATCATAATAACTGGTCTGGTCATCGTCATCGTGTCTAACACATGGGCGTTTTTAGACCCGACATTGGAGCCACATTTAAGACAGTTCGGTCTCTCCACTGAACAAATAGGATTGATCTTTTTATTATTCTCCAGTCTTTATGGAATCTTTAGTCCGATATGGGGATGGGTGGCTGACAGGTAAGTAATTATAAGAAATATTTTGTGAAATTTTTGCTGTTTTCTTATAAGTATTATTTTTTAGAGTGCATAATCATTGGTGTATGATGGTGTGGGGATTATTTCTATCTACAATCGGACTATTACTTCTCGGCCCTTGTCCGTTTATACCTGGCTTATCTCGGTGAGTTTATTTCTTACATATCTTAACTCCCTAGCGTATAAATTATAATATTCTGTGTTCTAATACTTTACATGTAAAACGTTCCAGTAGATACTTTTTATTTTCTGTTCTGTAAGCAAACCTATCCAATAACCTTAGACGATTTTCTTTTTTAAAATATTTTCAGTGACCTGTGGCTAGACCTCGTAGCGCTTTCCATATTGGGCATATCTGTGGCTTTGACATTGCTGCCAACATTTCAAGGAGTGCTGACAAGTTCCATGTAAGTTAAATATATGTTGCAAAATTTGTAATTGAGTAAAAAAAGTCAACGATTTAATAACATTACACACTAAATGTAGAAATTATATAGTTCCCTAATATTGTATTGGTAGTTAAAAGTTTTTAATTTAAAAATTATACCGTGAGATTCCACAGCGGGGAAAAAAGAATAGAACATAATTGTTATATATTATAATACATATATGTATTTTTTAAAATATAGATCTACATGTAGCTTAAAAGTTAACTATAGTTTGTAATATGTCGCCAGTTTCGAAGGTGGGTGCCCGGAGGCGCTGGCTACGTACAGTGCGGTGGCGGGCGTATGGTCATGCTGTTATTCGCTGGGCGAGGTGCTGGGCCCAGCGGTGGGCGGTGCACTAGCTCAGCGGTATGGCTTCCCACTCTGCGCCACATTGTGCGCTGCTGCGTGCTTTGTAATGGTACGACAATACTTTAAATATTTGCAGAATAATTCTTTACTTAAAGAAATATAGGCTTGTAAGCAAACACCAATGTTGTTCCTTGAAGGTTAGAGAGTATAGAGCGTTTTTTTGAAAATTCCAAATTCCATCCGTTACTAAGAGAAACTTTTATTGAAAACTATGCACTTAATCTTATTTCTATATAACCGTTCGTATAGTCTAGATTTTAGATATTATCAGAATTAAGCCTTTTCATTTGTAAAATAAAACCAACAAATTATTTCAGGCGTTAGTGACACTAACATTCTTCTCGCTAAGAGAATCGTCTAAGTGGTTAGAAGTAGAATCATTGGGGGATTCTGTGCACACGGACAGCACTTGGCACAGCAACTTCTGCACCCGCAGCGCCCCCTACACGCGCACGAGGGAGAACTCCCCGCTCATATCACCATGCTCATGTAGTGTGAAAAACGGTAAATTTTAATTTTCGATTAACTATAACTAATCGTTGGTTTCTGAGACCAAATTCTTCGTTTATTACATATCGTCATTAGATTTGACAATACAGAGATGACAATAGGTTTTAAAGGTGTATTTGGTCTTTAGGTGTTTTTATAATCAAACTTATAGTGAAACATCGAAGATAAAAGTTTACGAAATCATTTTACTTAACATTTTCCAGGTTACGGGTCATCAGGGTACGGTACTTCGTATCCTCGACCAGTCTGTTTAAACCATATAAAACAGAAAAAGAGTGGTTGGGCAAGTGCAAAAGAAGTAACCACATATTTCCTTAAATTCCAATACCTGACTAACGCTTACATAAAAATACGAAGACTACGTAAACGTAAAAATCATGTAAACAGTGATGAATTATATCAAAATTATTTAGGAAACGATGAAAATGATAATACACAAGATAAAATAATAAGAAATGGCAATTCAGCTATTAATATAAAAAACAACGCAAATCATGATTGTGATCAAACAGACAGACAGGACAGTTACTGCGTATACTTAGACAATGCCATTTTTGGCAGCCCCGTTGTAATGGCGAATGTAAATTCAGACAATTTAATAGTAAAGAGAAACCACAAAGGCCTGGTGGCGAAGGTGAAGACTATGGAAGACGACAGGAGAACATCTGATGAGATAATTAAGCATAATTTACAAAAAGTACACTTTTATGAACAAAACCCAGCTTGCTCATCACGTGAAGATATCTTTGTAAGTATTTTGTACTGTCACCAGCAACAAAGGTATTAAAAAAAGTAATTTAAAAACCTATGCGTTATTCCTCACTAGAATCTATTTTCGTCTGACTCTTGGAACACAGGGGCCCTAGTTCATGAGCCAAGACACACATAGTTATGTAAATGAGTCTTACAATAAAGCGTTTATTCATTTACTAGCTGTCGCCCGCGACACCGTCCGCGCGGAATTAAAAAATGTAATAAGTAGCCTATGGGTTCATCCAAACTATGTTCTACATCTAGGCCAAATTTCAGTGACATCCATGTAGTCGTTCTGGAGATACCTTCAAACAAACATACATCCATCTAAACATTCGCATTTATAATATTAGCAAGATTTAAGATTAGTACAACAGTTCTGTAGTTGTGTGGTTATAAACATCCATACAACTACTAACTTTCGCATTTAATCTAACACAGACTAATATTTTCACCATTGCCTAACTATTCGTATAGTCTTCGTCTGTTTAACATATTATGTAAAAAATCTCTCATAATAATCGAGTTATTTTTATCAGGAAAAATGAGGTAAGTCTTCTCTATGTAATCTGATCTCTATGTTAAATGAATATCTACCTATTAATAAACGTAAGATTGACGTAATAATCTTACTTTTTACTAATATTAAATCCGAAATGTTTGTTGGTTAGAAGGTATTTCCAGAACGAATCAACGGATCTCGATGAAATTTGACACATATGTAGAACTGAACAGAACTTACTGAGCTTTTTTGCTGTTTTTGAGTCGCGAGTAAAAGCTACAAAGTAATTTCACAATCACATCAACAATTACTTAGATGGAAAAGTCTTACGCAGACAACGATAGGTGTTCTTAATAAAAATTACTCTATTTTTTTTTTAATTTCCAGGATGCATGTGACTGCAAAGACGGCGTCACCTACGTCAGGGGAACCGTTACAGTATCATCTACAGGCGCTTGTGAAGTCTAATCATAATTAATTTAGATAAACTCAAGTGATTTTAGCTTAAATTAATATTAAGTTTTAAAGGTTGTAACTCAATATTTTTATTTAGTAAATTAATGTTTTAATAAAAATAAAAATATTTTTTTTTTATTTTAAACATTCCTGATCTTTTCGAATAGCAAAAATATTCAACATCCCTGACAAAGTACTAGGGTTACATCAATAGGAAGCGGTCGATTGTTCCCGACTCCCTGTTGGAGCATTTCGCTGCCCCACAGTATCACCCTTTCCTGGTAACACCTCCTGTTAGTTATGCTACCCTAGTAGAAACGACCTCTGTGACCGATCTCACGACATCGACATACGGTTTGCCCCTTAACCTCTTTCGTTTTGGCTGATAAATTATGCATCACCCAAATTTTATCAATGAATTACTATAATGAGCAACCTGAAATATCCTAAAAAAGTTACAAGTCTACTTACTAATCTTAAAAATCATTTTAGCCTACGTTTAAAAATGTTAGCAATATTTTTCTCAAAACAAGATTAAGTTTTCTTCCTGCTTCTTTGTCAGGTTTTAAAAATTAAAGGCTTCCAAAAATTTTAAAAATTAGCTTTCATTTCTTAATTAGTTGTAGTAATAAGGACCATTTTCTTTTTTATTAGCGTGCACCACGAAAAATAGTTTCCTCCATAATTAAGTAGTAGACATTCGTAACAACCAAACGAATTAAGAATGTCCGAATCTCCATACTTGAATTTGTTTATTAATTGACTATTATTTGTAGCAGCGTTTTAGATCTAAAAATATTGTAATTACAAAAAAACTACGAGTACACAGATATTGATTTATGTCCCATGTTGATGACGTAGATGATTTGCCGTCCTGCTCTAGTCCACTGGAGCTAAATCGTAAAGGGAGAATTTGATAACAGGGGGATGGGGTGAAATCGGTGTACCACCCTCACAGCAGGCGAGCGAGACAGATCATCTATCCTTTTTCTCACGTCGATGTATCTCTGCTGATTCCTTATACCCTGGTACATTTTGCCTTGATGTCGGGGGAAAACGGGTTTAGATTATCGGAACGTTTGTTGCGTTGGGAAACACAAAAAAAAATTAATTTTCACATTTTTCCCTAATTTTTTTTAAACTTTACTTATGTAATTCATAATTTACTGATTTTTACTACATTTTATTAAATATTTTTACTTACTATTTAAACTTTTACTTGATAATAAAATGTTATCAGGAATATTAGTAGGTACGCAGTATAGAACTATTTTTCATTAGCATTTGCGTAACTGTCTAGGAACATACGCCCACAGAATCGATACCTATTAAATTACAGGCAGATAGAATGAATAGTTTGTAAAACAAGACAATAATGAGCCAGATCGTTTGCAAATATCGTCTCTGTGTTGTGTGGAAAAAAACCGTGTAATTACATTATTTTTTCTATTAAAATGAAAAAAATCGTGGCATATCTAACAATATTTGTTATATTAAGTGTAGTGAATAGTGAAAAATGTGATGGCATATATGTAAATAATAAATTTCATAGAAAAGATATTTTATCTATAAACATCGATAGGCCATACCAACTATCGTACGACAAACACAGGCACAGAGTTTATTTCAGTTATAACATAGGTAAAGAAGAAGAAGATCGTTTTAATATTGCGTATATAGAAAAAGGTAACACTGCACATAAAATTAAAGATAATATTGAAAATGGATTTGCTATAGCAATCGATAATAAAAACTATAAAATATATTTCGGAGGCAGTCTAGGTATTTATGAAGAATCATTAAAAAAAGAAAATGAAACTAAAAAGATCATTGAAGGTTTTAATGTATGGGATATGTTCATTAAAGAGAAACTGCATTTTATAAATTATCCACAGCAGAGGTTATATAAATGTGAAAATGAAGAGTTAGGAGTGAAAGCGGTGCGTCAGAGACATATCCATGAGAAAATTTATCAATACGCTATTGATGGTGATGAAAATAGTTATATCACAAATCGTACTGGCCTTTATATGATTAAAAATGGTACAAGTGATCGTATTTTTATAAAAGGTATCAATAACTTTAGATGTATTGAAGTCGATAATAATGGTGTGGTTTATTTCTGCGGTCAACACGGCATCTACGTCATAAACAAAGAAGATTACACACTGGAGAAGATTGCAGAGATAAGAAATATATTTGGACTTACTTTTGATCATGAAAATAATTTCATTTATTCTAATCCACATGAAATTGTTAAGTTATTGGCTGGAGACTGTAAATAAAACTTTTTTTAAATGATAAACTGTTTACAATTCAATATTATACTAATTATAAATGAATTAACAAATAAATAAAATAAAATGTACTTACTAATGTTGCACTTTTTATTTTATTTCATTTACTTTTTATTTAGTTTTGAATATTTTTGTTTGAACATTTGATTAACTTTAACGTTAAGTTACATATAAGTAAGATTTGTATACAGTTGCGACAACTTGTTCTCAAGAATCTTCTAATTAAAAAACTACTGTTACTAAGAGCGTCGGTGGCTCAGTGGTCAAGCACTTGACTTGCAATCTGCAGGTCCTGGGTTCGAATCACGCCATGTACCAATGTGTTTTTCGATATCCGATTTACATATGTACATTTATCAGACGTTCTTACGGTGAAGGAAAACATCGTGATGCAACCTACACATATCTGAGAAGAAATTCAAAGATATGTGTGAAGTCAACCAACCCGCACTTGGCCAGCGTGGTTGACTATGGCCTAAACACCCTTAACTTAGGGTAGGCTCCGAGCCCCTCGGTGGGGACGTATAGAGAGTTGATAATGATGATGATGATAATGACTGTTACTATAGTCTACGTCACCCGGGATAGCTTCCTAAGTGAACGAATTTTTCAAACTGTTCTGTACTTTGGGGCCCTACTCAATAAAACAATCAAATCTTTCCTCTTTATAACATTATATATAAGTATAAAAAAACTAGACAATATTATCCATACAAATATGCTAAATATAGTAAATAGGTTTGAAGAGACATAGTTAATTAGTAAGCAAAGGACACGTTATATAAAAGGTTCTGACGTAACGCAGGGCCTCCCTTCTCCCACCGTCCCGGGACGGCTGTGACGTCATTGCTAATCCCTTGACAAAGTAAACGAAAATAGTACACTGTTTTTTATATCTACAAATAAAACAATAAAATCCTTTTTACATAGGATACTATTTATTCATTTTTTCCAATTTATGCATTGAAGAGCTGCTTTTATATAACTTATTAATATTATAAATGCGAATATTAAGATGGATGTGATGTGGATGGATGGGTGTTTGAAGATATCTCTAGAACATAGTCTGAAAGAACACATAGGCTACACTAATTAAGTTTTTTTATACATTCACGCGGACGGAGTCGCTGGCGACAGCTAGTTTATAATAAGTTTTATTTTGACTTTGTCCTGAAAAAAAAAAATCACATAAGGAAAAGAATACGATAATTTATACGACATAAATAGCTCGTCGGCAGCAAATAGGAATCAAATGAAGGTCTTCTCCTACTCGTTCATTCACGTAGGTGTTCACGAAATGTTGAAAAAAAAGTATTATATATTAAAATATAATTTATTAATTATATCTCACATAAAAATAAATATTTGAAGTAAATAAATAATAACATTACATTTATGTCTTACAAAAAGTTTAGTCCTTCTCAGAATTATATGAATTATACAGAAAATACTAACTAAATAATAATACTTAATTCAAATAAAAATAGAAATAATCTCGTTTTTTTATATTTTACAATATTTCGATATGTTATTTTAATTTATCCTTTTTTGTTATCTTTGAATGAAATTACTTTCAAAAATATAATTACTTGATATTAAGTATTTTCCAAGACTACCAATATACTCGTAAATAACCTAAATAATATCAATTTTTATAGGACGGATTTTAAAATGCATTACTGGTATTTGATGCAATTTTTCTGTTTTCTATTTCTCACGAATAACAAATACTTTGTAGCTTGATTATAATCATTATATCAATAAAACTATAGAAAATCTAATGATACCTATTAAGTTTTCATTAGTAGGCAAATGAACGATACGTCTGTATATTTAAACCATAATTATGCGTGAAAGATAGAACTTTTATTATGGTTAATGCATTTGATGTTTGTTACACAATATATTAAGACATTCGAATCAAATATGCCAATAAGCAAGTTAAGATCGAAAATACCATACCATACGGCTTATCAGCACTATTGCCACAGACCATCCTTCTCGAAGCTACAGAGAGTTTTTTATTCTGTAGCAATGTATGTACTGAGTCGATCTCCCAGCGCGGCATAGTACCCGGGTTTCGAGAGAAGAGGACAGAATAAAGCTGTGCTGGGGCAGTGGCCGTACCTTCTTGACAGAAGCTTAAAAGTAAATGGTCGTTTACCGCCTTGAGAACTTGCACGGAACCACTGAATTGCTGGTAGGTTGAACGATTCGTTATTGTACCTTAAAAAAGAAAAAAGATATTTTTGTAATTTAATTATAATAGTTTTAAAACTAGTTAAATTTTTTGCCTGTTAAACATAATGTGTAAAAAATATTTACCATTTTGACCATCCAGAACTTGCCAGTATCCCGCGGAATCGTTTCTGAAGTAAAGCGTGTACTCTATAGTCTCTCCCGCCTCGTCCCAGAGCAGGCGCAGATGTCGGTACTCCTGCCGGAATTTTGCGTTGATGTGCTGCACGTGGAACAGTTGGTTCTCTGTTGACGGCTGGAAAGAAATAACCAAAATGATATCAAATACAAAGAAAGCTCTTTAAATGAAAACAACTTAATTCAACTGAATCGCATGAAAAGGAATACACTTTTCGATGATTTAGATCTTATGAAACCTAACAAATGAAGAAAAAATTCACATAGGCTTAAAGTTCATTCCAGAACGTAAGATCGTTGTAGATTAAGTGGGTCAGGCAGATTGACCTCAACAATGTCACCCATGACTCAACTTTGGAGGTGCGTAGGCAGCGCCTCTGAGGCATTCAGGTCATTCCCAATTATTAAGAAGATTCAAACATATGAAAAACAATTACTTTATGAATAACCACTTCTAGATAAAACAAAAAATATTCCTTACATGAGTCATGAGAAAATGAACTGATCTGACGTTAATCGTGATCGTTAATTGGTTAAGTAGTAAGTGAAAATATGTCATCCTGTTGCACTAAGGGCTTCCCTCACCACTTAACGTTTCGGAGTGCGGAAGTTAATCCCCCAATAAACAGTTTAAACATTGGCACACGATGCAGAGGAAACGGGGATTTGCGATTAAAGGAAGTTAGGTCCGGATAATACAATGATTGTTGCTCCCACCACGATAACAACTTCCCACACTCCAGCTACTGTTAACTTAATTGTTATATACGCTAATTTATATATAACTGATAAAGAATCGTGCCACAGTTGTGGATTTTTTTGTTAGTATGGAAAGAGGTGACTGAACTTTTAAACAGCCTGTAACCTGTAACATAATGTACGTTTGATAAATAATCAATGAAAGACAAAAAAACATCGCTTTAGTACTTATAGCAGACCCCGTAAAATTAGCTAAATGTCGACACTAAAAAAGTAGGTATACGTAAGCATACCGTTTTCTAAGTAAATGTAGATATTGCCTAAATTCTAGCCTGACATAAAAAAGTATAGAATTATATTTTACAAGATGTTTTTATAAAGTGACAAATAACAAACGACTTACTAATTATACTTCTAATATGTTCAATTTTGTTAGTGAAATTTTTGGCTTTTTATCGCCTTATATTTTAATTTTTTTTTGCTATTTGTATTGATAAGTTCTTCGTAGTTACAAAATTACGTGTATAATAATTCTGTATATCTCTGTTTATTAAGCGTATGTAGAACGACGATACAAGGCTGCAATCTTGATGCGTCTTTTTAAATTGCGCCATCAATTTGCTGCTGTGTTCACAATTTACTTTATACACTTACTATGTAGCTCGACATTTTAACATCTAGAAGTATATTACTGTCTTTTTTCTTTCTCATTTGATCACTATATTAAAATATACACTCGAATATATTATCGAAATAAAAAATTTAAACAAAGAAGTATAATGCATAAAAGTTGACACGTAACTACATATATCTGTATTTAAAAACTAGTCAAATTAATCTACCTACCCCATACGTAGATCTCGGAAAGTCATCAGTTTCCCATAAAGTTATAATCGGACAACTTTTATACGTATTCACTCCTTCTTTCCGCAAATGCAGATAAAGCTCGACTACTTTCCATTTCCCCATAACAGTTCTCGGATCCAAATCGTCATATTCATGTTCTCTTTGACAAATAACTGTGATATTATTGTTGGTAGAGTTAGAAACTTCTATAGCCGATGTCTTCAAAAACAAAAGCAGGAACCATGGTAAGAACATTGTGCCACGCCTAAAAGATTCCATTAAAAAAACAAATGCCAATTTTGACAAATTCAATTTTAAATATGGAACTTCACAGTTAATTGTTAAAAGCGAATTCGATTTACGAACGCTACGCCCGCGAAAACTGGCAGCGTATAACCGATTGCTACGGACTGACGGGCGATTGGATGCGGCGCGGTCCTTAGTCACTCGAGAAACGATGTTATCACATTTGACCCCTGCCTTACGTAGCACTAGAGTTCCCACTGACCTTTTATATAAATTCACATGATTACGTCATAGATAAATGAATATACCTTCATTTAATTTTTTACTTATTGCCATATAAAAACTTAAAATATTCATTTTTTATTAATCAATACTAAATTAACTAAAATATAGATTAAAATATAGACATTCGTAGATGTCTATTTACGGCATCTTTAAATAATTACATAAATGGACAATATAGATGTGGTGTCTAAAATTTCGACTTAGTATTTTAGTATGATTTGAGAAATTTCCTTCATACACAACATTTGATTAATTTATTTCACGTTCATAATAACTTTAAGCGAAAAAAAAAATTGGTAGGTGTAGACATTCGTAGGTCTATGGAAATAAAGTGTGCCAGTATTGTCGCAATGATCAAGTAGTGAATGAAGATCACTAATTGTCATTGTGAATACTCCCGCTAGCCGCTGAGGCAGGGCAGGGACACGTCGACACACTGTTTACAATATTATTTTAAGTAGTGTATAAACACTTTTAGTATTATACTAAAATTTAATTCTTTCCTACAAAAATTGATTCGACAAAAAAAATATTCCACTTCATTCGTATTTGTTACCTCAAATTTAACTTTCCTCACATGTCAATAGCTTTTAAAACTTTAATACACAATCTCATGCACAAAATGAATCTTACCAAATAAGAATTCATAAGAAATTGCAATTGGATCTAACAAGTTTCTTCGAAGTATTATCATCTGTATACACTTAAAGTGTAAGTTTTTGTAAATGATTTCAAGCTAATGACATAAACAAAAGCATACAAGAGGATATTAAGATTAATACATGATAGTATGACTAATGCTTTGTTGAAAGACTAAATAGTTTCAATAATAGACGTCATCATTCAATATCATATCGGGATTACTTATCTTACATATTAAAATAGTTGTTAATGCAGAGTTCACAAATCCATATTCGATCCTAAAGCAATTTATATTAAAAACTAGCTGTCGCCCGCACTCCGTACGCGCGGAATTAAAAAAATCTATTGGTCGCAACATTATAAAGCTAAAGCTTAAAAAGACTGGCCAACAAAAAAAGAATTTTCCAAATCGAACCAGTAGTTCCTGAGATTAGCGTGTTTAAGCAAAACAAACTCTTCCGCTTTATAATATTAGTATAGATATTTAATAAAAAAAACCAACGCTCCCGTTCAACATTACAAAAACAATATAGATAATCTTACTTCTTACTAATATTATAAATACGAATGTTCAGACGGATGGATGAATGGATGTTTGTTTAGGTATCTCCAGAACGGCTGAAAAGAACTCGCTGAAATTTGGCAATTGTAGAACATAGTATGGAAGAATACATATGCAATAGAGTCGCGGACAACAGCTAGTAGCAATATAAAAGTCATTTTAAATATATTAAACATAAATGGATTTACTGTTTATAGTGCGAAAAATTTATAGATTAAAAAACTCACCCGATCATGTGGCTCCGAAATATGAATCACGATGCATGTTCTGGCATAATCAACTCTGGAATCCCCCGCTAAATGTTGCACGAACTCAACACCGTACCACATCCCAGTCAAACTATCCACCCAGATGCCAGTCTGGGGGGATCTGTTCACGCAGTAGTCTCTGATATTCTTCATAAAGGGTGCTTCATACGACGTAAACCCTTGCCCGTAACTGTTGTATTGCGGGGTTGTGTACCCTGGTAGGAACACATTAGATCCTGTATTGTAACTATTGTATCTAGGCGTTGTATATCCTGTGTTATAATTTGGATATCGATTTGCATCTGGAAATGTTGCTATATCACTACCAGTCTTATACGGATATTGATTGTATAAATTGGCAATTGTTGTATAACTTGGTTGTCTTGTTGTATCATATCTTTGATAATTTGCACAATCCACGATTGTAAATATAGCTATCAAAATCCCAGCTATTTGATACATTTCTTCGTATTTTCGTAAAGTTGTCTATGGATGAGATGTTGCGTGTTAGTTAGACAGTGAAGTGCGACTGCTGCGGACTGTATGGGAGTGGGATGTAAACTAATTAGGCCTAATTGTAATCTGTCAGGTCCGGTGTCAAAGGCTATAAGCCGTTTATCTTGCATCTAGGAACGTGGATATTTGAATGACCGGTTCTAACATTTGTAAGTAGATGTTATAAAAGTATTGTGTCATTACTACGCGTAATAAATAATACATTGATTTAGCCTTCATATCTCCCAATGGCAGCCATCTTCATTGAATAAATAAGCATAATGGATTGTTTATCAATAACTTACGACTCTATACAATGTTCGATCTTATAATTTTGCGATCATAACTATATTTAACTAATATATTAATTAATTGTTCAGTTTCATTGTCTATTTTCATTCTTAAATTATCAATACATTAAGCCGATTGTACTTAAATCAATTGATGGCTCATGCTCATTGAATTTTATATTTATTATTCTCTCTGACCTTCTTTTATAATATATATTAATTATCAATACGTAAAAGCTAAGAAACTCAAAACAATCCTTTACCAAACTAAACTTTATTTTATCAAAATTCACATTGAGTACTGATGAAATAGCTTGTTTTATCAGGTTTTATCCAAGACGTCACACTGTAGTATTTAATTGACAAAGTTAATTAACAACTTTGGTCTACTTCTGAGTTGTATAATTGATGTAATTTGCTTGCGAAAGGACTTCCTACTTATCGTATATACGACCTCGCTTTGAACCAAATGGTCGGAGATCAGAGGGCACTTGTTCACAGCATCCTCAAAAACAATTAGCAGCGCACAAAACAAGTCGTAGGTACTGCGCATCCTGTTAATTGATTAAAAGGATATATCGTAAATGTAAAACGCATGTACAAAATGTCTATGTGGATAGTACTAGCTGTCGTCATCGACTTCGTCTGTGTTATGAATGAATTCCTTCGATAAGAAATTTGCAATGTCTTTACAATTTACTTATCCTTATTGTAAATGGGCAGCGTTCACGATTTGCTGGTAACTGTTTTTCGTAGCAACTACTTTATGCTATAAGCTTGAACGACACTATCGTGACTTAATTAATTCTTTCTTTTGCTTTCTATTTTTTATCGACCACGCCACAGGTCAACGTCCCATCCAATAAGTAAAATGTAGATTTAAACTGTTATTATTATGCTAAGAAAGTGCTTTAAAATAATTTTATAAACTTTGAGTGAATTATGACTAATGAGTAGTTAAGGGGAACAACAAAACAGTTTGAATATTATTAAAAATGCTTTATTCACTACAAACCAATAATAATACAAATAATTAATAAACCGTGTAAATATAAAATCTAGTTTTTAAAATCAAATCTGAAGTTTACATTCTAAGTTTGATGCTCCATATTCTATCTATAATAAATTTGAATGTAACACATATAAAGACAGACAAACATAAAAGCAATAGAACTGTAGTTAATACATCCAGCACAGACAGCGGCATGTCGATACATCCTAGGTAAATCGTACTTATAAAACTCTTGCTCGTATTTAAACCAATCCCATCTTTGTAGTTTGGATATCGAACGTCTTAGGATCAAAGTGAAAATGCCGCCGTTGCCGATTTCTGAACAGTGATTGATTAGAAGCGTGTGTGCAGTGGCATTCAGCACTCGGATCACCTCAGGATGACGCGGTGGATTGTCTGCATACCATATATCTGAAAGAAACAGAAACAAAGACTATTAAGAAGCAGATGTATGACTATCTATATGTTTCATTGGATGTATGGATGAGGAAATAAGGCCTGAGTTAAACATACTCAATCGTCTTACTGTAACAATATTTCTTGACAAATGTTTCTTGCTAACAAAGAAAATATTTTACGTTCAAAAATTAAAGAAGAGTAATTTTGTAGAAATATTTTACCTATTCCTCTTTCTCTCATTTCCCTTTCAAATGGTCTTAATTTCTCAGCAATCCAAATGCCAGGATCTTCTGGAGAGTAAATATAAATCTGTTCCATAGTTTGTCCATCTTCATCCCACATTACTCTAACTCGACGTTGAATATTAACGCTCCTTTTTATCTGTCTTCTCAACGCTATATCGAGCCAAGAGCCTGCCAAAGCATCACCTGACCAAGGGTTACTTTTATCAGATCTCCAATTCTTATCTGTATAGTTTATCGGTGGAACCTAGAAATTTACAAGACTTAATAACCAATTAAGAAAACTTAAACTATGAGATATGGAAAGCTTATCTGATGGTACAATTTAAAAGAAATCCTAAGTACCTCAACCAAAACCTAGTTTAGTATATTATATTGAAGACATTCTTAAGAGTAAAAAAAAAGTTAAGGACATGCGCTAGTTAATAAGTCGCGTCTCGAAGGTGTTACAATTCAAAACATACTTACATCCCAGTTGACCCAATCATCTCGGACCTGGTATGTAGCATCGGTAATATAGAGAGATACGCAACCTATTTCATTGGGTTTGTCAGTCATGTCTGGCGTGTGCTGTGCGTACCCAACACCGTACCATATCCCGAACACGTCATCTACGTTGAAACGATGCGACCAACGAATACTCTCCCCGCAAAGACCTTGAACTGAGTAATTCGGTAACATAATCAACAAAAAGAACGCTAGCGCACGCATGGTGTCTCTGGGAACTGCGCAAATAATATGCTAGTCGTGTTGATTCATCGGATACAATTAGCAAATTAATGCAGGTTGTTTTCGATGTATGGAGTATACTGATGATTCAGAACAGTTTTATTAGATCAAACGGATAAGCGTATCTTTCGTACTATACTATACCTGTATATTGCATATATTACCTAAGTTAGTTACATCTCATTTTGGATTAACTAAGTTTTAGAGTGATTCGGAGGCCATGACAAACTCAAGAGAGAAAATTTCTCTTTATAATGTATAAATGTAACTCCTCTTGCCAATTTATATACTATTCTTAATATCCACTCATGTTATAGACCAACTGTTGCCCGCGACTTCGTCTGCTTGGTATTAAAAATATGTTTAAGTTACTCCCGCGCTTATAAGTGACATAAAAATCCCATCAAAATCGGTCTAGCCGTGTCTGAGATTATTCTGTTCAAATGTCAGACAGACACACAAAAATTTAAAAATTGATTTTTATGATATATTTATTATAAGTAACGTAAATACATTATTTGTACAGTATACTCATATATTTTATATTACATAGAGATACTCCAATTTTATTAACCGTATAAGATATAGACAAGAAGTTTATATATACAGATATTTCTACATTTTACTATTGACATTTACCATGAACTATCAGACAGTTATTACTGTAATAATTCGAAAAAGATAAAGATATAAATGTATCCTTTAAATCCTCTTTGTTCTGTCCCTCTTTTATAATCATTATATAAGGTCATAAATTCCGAAAAAAACAATCACACTGTATATAAGTCATTTACTCTCAGATTACATCAATGGAACATTAAAAAACTACACAATAATACTACGATCATCAAGATCTTGCCAATAGAAATGCCATAATGACAAACAAAGTCCCAGTTAATTGAATATTTGTCGCAGAATTTTCACAAACGCGTTTCAAAGCTGACGTGGATAGATGTTTGAGCGTGAAGATATTGTGAATGCTGGCGAGGTCCTCTGGTGTCAACTGATTCTCGTTCCTGGATAACACGACGCTGTACAGCTGCGAGTGGGGTAGACGCATACAGAAGTTCAATACCAAGTGAGTCTTCGCAACTTTCAATACTTGTATGACTCCACCGAAGAAACGGTACATTTTCTCAACCGCTGGAAACAGAAATTATATACATCAAATATATTTCTTTGTAATAATGCTATGCATATTATATGTACTACTTAACAGATTCATCATTCACATACGATGAAAAGATTAGAAATACAAAATAATATTTTATGTTGCCGACACTTCGAGTTAGCTCTATTAAGATTAATCCTGGTTTACATTAAGTCAGTACAGTAATACGTAGTGCTCAAAATCAGCGCTGGCATACATGGCATAATGTAAACACTAACTGGCGCCAGTGCGTTAAAGATATCCATGCCGCGACAGCGCTCCTGTCCTACTGTACTGGCATTCTGTAAACAAGGATTTAGGCTGACTAGAGTACTGCTAAGTTACAATCTCATTTCATTCGTAAGGCTTCTTCATAATCATGTTAAGACACCTGATACATTCCATGTCTATTATCAAATGTAAAAAAAGGTAGTTTAGTACTATAAATAATTTGAATCAGTGTTTAAGTTAGAAAGTAAATTAAATCACGCAATATTATAATTACAGTCTTTATTCATTATATTTGCTAGCGCGTTTTAAAAACTATTTAAATATAATCTAGTTAGATAAAAATCTTAATGGAACAAATATATTAAAACTAAATTTAACAAACAAATATCAAAGTAATCGTACTTTTACCGCAATGGCGTAGGAACGACTGTAAAAAATTAAAATAAATATTAACGTCTTTATATATAACAATTCTACTACATTAAAATTTCTTTCATTTTGTATTGATTTTTATAATTAACTGACGTACGAATATATCTTCTTTAGTAGACCCTTACATAAAAGCTAACCGAAAAGGAAAAGTATTAAGAAATGTTCAATAACAACGCAACTGACTTACATCTATTAGGCACGTCCGTGGGCCAGAAACCTTTATGCGACGTGTTCACTTTGATGTGGTACTCATCTCTCCAGAGACCTTCGTTCCATTCCAGCACGAAGTGTCGGATACGGTACTGCTCAGGCATGCCATACGTGCGGCTCACGTACGGAGAATTTGTCAACGGGAGGTAAGACGTAGGGGGCGTTGGCTGAAATCAAGAATTATTCCAAAATAATATTGACAAAAAAGTATGTAGTAGAAAAGTAGTCTACTGATAATTGACTCACACGTTATCGTGCGACCAGAGTAAAAACAAAAAACAAAAAAAATCATAGATTTTCTTAGACCATAATCCCAGTGTAAAACATATTGTTATCTCTGTTTTGTCAGAGATAATAACAGAGATGACGATATGTTTTATACAATGATTATGACAGCAGAAACAAACGGTAAAAGAGTTAGTAAAACATTTATAAAACTATTTGGTATCAAAATTATTAATTTAATAACGATAAATGTAATTATTTATCGAATAAATATAAGCTATTGATATAAAGATATTTTATAGTTCAATAACTATCCATTGAATCAGTACACAATATAAAGCCTGTACCTCAACTGTATTTATAGACATGTGTGTTACGTGTTTTCTTGTGGGATTTCATATAACATTGTCGTGGTGTTAAGTTGCTATTGTTAAAACGTCGCATGAATGACGCGCCACAAGCATACTAACATTATATAAAAATATACGATTAATGGAGGCTCTTTACATTTATTAATGACTTGACGTAGGAACTACGCTTTAGAATCTTACTAATATAAATGCAAATATTAATAAAATTTATGTTTAGATAGATAGATGAATTTTTGTTTGAAGGTATATCCGGTACGGCTCAATAGATCTCGTTCTAATTTAGCATAGATGTAGAACATTGTCTGGAAGAACACATGGGCTACTTATTGTTTTTTTATCAAGTCGCACGGATGGTGTCGACAGATAGTCTTAAATAAGCTGCAGATTAGGCTACGATTGTTTTGTAAACTTAAAGAAGTTTACTTTAATGTTATACATCTGACAGATAATATTTAGTTAGGTCTCGCTGAGTTAATGTTATTGAATCTTCCAGCTATTTTGATAAAAGATAATGATGTGATATGATGAAAGTTAAATGATTTAATTTGAATCTAATACTTACTAAGTTACGATTAATCAAAGCACCTTGTATATAATCTTCAAACTTTCTTAACTGTATTATAGGACAATAAGGATTATATTCCGTTATTATTCTATTATCTTTATGGAATATATACTCGCGTAAATACCACATTCCCAACAATTCATCAATATCGAAATCATGAATAGGTTTCAAGTCCGGACAGTAATTTACATTTGTCGCACACACCGTTACTAAGAGAAAAGCAAATGGTATTATAATGAACTCCATTTAAACATATAATTAAAGGTAATTTTCGTATATGATCTTTTTAATTAATGTACATGTGGTTGGGAGACAGAGTGATATTAATTAAGGTTGAACCTACGCCTCTTATATCATGGCTCCTCTATCTCTTGACCTACTAATTGTAACGACCTCTACATCCTGCAAATTGCTAGTCACACGTTAATATGCTTGTAAATTAAAATTAAGTTAAGTCTCATTATTAGATAATTTCTATAGTAAGGGTTAATTACATTACTTGTATTTGATTTAAATTAATGTACATTAATTACTTTTTGAGTACCTATATATTTGCATATCTTGTCTGCTACGGTATTTATGACGCTGACTGTATTTGTTAATAACTAGCGGACGCCCGTGTGGACCTTCCCAAGATCCAACAAAATCCAGCCGTTCCGGAGATTACTTTTATGTATTGTAATAATAGTTACAGACAAATGAAATATCATTATACTATACACAAATGTCATAACATAGCTCCTAGTTAACGTCCTAGCTAGCTCTTTGCAAAGAACGTCTGATACTGCATATAAAACCTTTCGTTTTACTTTTAGATAAACAGATGACCTCGTGAAGGTTGGATAAGATTACATACTGTACAAGACATTGATAAAGGTCTATTGTACAACCTATTGATATTGAGTTTGTTTAAATATTTATCTGCGTGATGAACTGATGTATATCAATATATCAAGTAAATCAGATATAGATCTAAAATGTTCTTTAACATACTAAAAATCAATAAACATTATTCATTGTAAAAAAGTAGCAAAAAATAAAATAAAAGCTATCCAAATAATACGAACAAACCTGTATATGAACTTCCCTTATGTCAATATGAAAACATTCCTTGGTATGTTCAATTTTATACTCTCCTTTCGAATGTGGAATCTTCTCAACTCCGTACCAAACTCCGGATATTTGATCCAAATCAATGTCACCGAAGTACGGCGATAAATCGTCACAGTATTTATGATTCTCGAAGTAATAACTATTCTGACCGTAGCACTGGGTGTAAGCTAAGCTTAATAGAATCAGTATGAACTTCTCCATTTGGATTAAACCCGGATATCGGGATAAAAATTCGGGATAAAGAGAACCGGGTGAACCAGGCGACTATACGCGGCAGGAGATAACCGACGGATTAATCTTGTGAACGGCGCGGACGATCCCCGCTTTTAACACGTGGGCGGAATATGAAATGAGCTCCCTCAATTGGCAATGCCACACCGCGGGTAATTTTCTCGTTATGTGACAATACATCCTTTATAAACATTATAAACACTGTCCCCTTTATACAAGGAGAAAATATTTTAATTTTCTACACTACAGCATCTTATAAACTATTCTTTTAATCCTTAAAGCTTTTTAACTTGAAAGAGAATAATCTATTATGCTTGTTTATCGCTTAATTTGTGTTAAAAATAAGCATTTTACTTATATCCCACAGCAGTAAAGTGAAAGTTATAATGAGGAAAATAACAAAGAACAAGAATAGTTTGGCGATTTCTACAAAGAATCCTAATCCTATGAATTTTTCCGATTACATGAAAATTTTCCGCCAGCGCTTTTCTTGGCATACTTGGACGCTAGGGTAGCAGAAGCTTTGAACCAGCACCGATCGACACAATGCGGTGACGTCAAAGCAAAGTATATATTGATCGTGATACTACACTTGAAGTTGGAGAGAGACAGACTCTACATTTTTATACGAAATTACTGTAAAAAAACTTCTAAAAAATTATTTTAGAAAACTAAAAATTGTAGAGACGTAGCCATAAACCTAATTACAATAACTAAAACTTATAATTTTGTAACTACACTTACAAACAGATATACAACAAGTATAGTAAATTCTACATAAAGGTTTGAAATGGTAACGCGTTGACGTCATCGTCGGTAGCAGAGACTATGACGTAAGCGGTCTGGCTTAACTCGAGGTTGTTCGTACTAAGGACACAGAAAACGTAGGATATAAATCCGTAGCTTTTCGTAGCAGAGAAAAGCGTAGCCCTACTTTTCATAATTATACGTCGTAGCATAGTCTACGTCTTTTAATATCATGTCAAGGAGTTGATTCTTCTCTTAGTAATTACTATTTGTTGTGTGTAGTTACAATTTTACAAGTATAATAGAGATCACATATAGAATAAAATAGTGCACAATATCAAAGTTAAGTAAATTAAAAAAAAGAAATATTCAATAAATTAAAATTTTAAGGTAATGATAAAAAATATTATCGTCTTTTCGATGAAAAATTACAAATAAGAAGGGAAAAGTCGGTAGGAGGGAGAGGAGGGGAAATATTAAAAAAAAATACTGTTAAAATGAGTTTAAAATCCTGAAGTACACATGTACAGTTAAACTATTATCCACTCTATTAAATATTGTGTATTGTAGTAACCCTGAAAGATTTTATGTACCCTAAGTACTCGGACAACATATTTACTGTAAGACTGTTGCCCTGTACAATCTAGGATTAAATCTAGTTTTATATATCCACACAAGTATGTTTGCTTGGTGGTTAGGTATTGGAATGGGTAAAGTTTGTGTGTTATTTGATGATATACACGTAGTTGGTTAATATAATATTATTAAGTAAGTACTTCAATTCTACTTATATTCCATAGGCAACCACAACTAACCATACTTATGGAAGAAATTTTTTAAAGAATTGCGATCCCCCAACAAGTTAAAACTTATTTGAACATCTTTAAAATTATGTATTTGATTTAATTATTGAATATTTTTTTGAAATAAACGTTAAAAGAAGGTGAAACTTAAAACAAAACCTTTTGTAGCGCGTAGCTTGCCGTTGTAGCACGTTCGTAGACTGCTTCGCTACAAAAGGCTGAATGATGACGTAACGCGTTTGCTACGATAGTCCCAAGGCAACATAAGTTGTAAGGTAATGTCGACGCCCTGTGTGGCGCCAAACGCGACGCCCCGCGCAAGTTAGTGCGATTCAATAGGGGAGCATGACAGACAGGGGTATACAATAGTTTCACCCCAACTATCAAGAGACGTTCGAAGGGTAGTGATGACGTAGCGATTGAGGTGAACACCCAACAGAACGTCTGCGAATGTCGTGAAATATATGAATAATATATTAAGTAAATATTGTGAGCACGCAAATGTTTATCAATATACACTGAAACTAAGTACATTTATCAGAATAAAGTTTAATTTACATATAGGGAGGCCAAATTACAAAACCTTAAAAAAAATCGATAAAGAAATAAAAGACAGTAGAACTTAATCTTTTACGATTAATTATCATAACTGCATAAAATGTCTACATTACTATCAGATAATTTACATATGCAATAAGTAATCCCTTTTTATTTGTCAAGCGTAAGCTCCTCGATTTTCTAACGACCTGGTATAGAGAGGTCACGAGCATCGCCGATTCACAAGGGTTATACTGGTTACACGTGTTTCGAATCCTATTAGTAAGATTTTATAATAAAATATTCCTAACAAGAAAAAACGAATGCTTACTATTGATTAATTCATTTATTTTTAGGAGTTTTAAAAAATAAGTTGGTGTCAAGGTTTTTTCACTTGGTTGTTGTTTAAAATGTTATTAGGATATTTCTATCACAACACCTAATTTGTGAGAATGAGTAATGTGTCAAAAGCACAAGTTACATGGAATGGTCATAGTTGTATTTTAAATAATATCGACGTGTTTATTATACGTTATTTGTATTATTGCCAAATGCAGTAAAAATAACATTTATTTTCAAATACTTTCGAAAATGTCAACATTTCATACATAAAAAAGAACCGTAGAGAGAAATGTATTTGATACCCTTTGGCATTTAGGGTGACCTTTGCAAAGGGTGAGTCCCGGTCGGACAGACGCAGCTTCGGCGGGCTTAGAGGTCGATTGTACTAGGATAGCATAGAATACAGGATGCTGCGACCCCTATGGAATATAACAACCACGACCTTTTTCACTAAGAGATTGCTCTACAGACAGGCGCTATAAATAGAGATTAAAAGATAACTACGAATACATACATGGGCTTGTTTTATTTACGACTGAGATTAGTCAACTGGTTTTCATCCTATTTAAAAGCATACTGATTATTTAACATACCTCCATTTACTTGCCCTTATCCCACTTAATGTGGGATAGATATATTTTCATCTCCTACAAATGTTATGGGGTCACATAAGTATGTTAGATTTTAAAAGCAAAGCAATCATTGATGTTATTTCATCATCATCATCATCATCAGCCTATACCCACTGCTGGACATAGGCCCCTCCCATAGCAAGCCACTGAGCACGATCCACGGCCACTCTCATCCAGCTCTTGCTGGCTGCCCTGCGTAGATCATCGCTCCACCGAGTCTGAGGACGTCCTACGCTACGTAGGATATTATTTATTGTCCTGTAATTATGTAGTAAAAGCGTCAAACGAGGAAATTCGTCTGATGCAAGTTACACTGATAAATTTTAATATCTCTATTTAAGGATAAGGTATGACATTTTTTTTTTGTAAAAAATTATATCATGGAAAAGTTTGAGTGTAATCACATAACGACTGTATCTGTTAACAAGAGGGAGGTTACAAATATTTTGGGCGCAAATTTTCTCCGCCCATACATCGTTAGGAGGCGGCGTTGAAACGTTGTTACATGGCTATGTTACTAAGGCGACATAAAACATTGGAATAAGTAACTGTGCTAAAAATAATCCTATGAAGTACTCAAAGAAGACAACTTAAGAAAAAACTTAAATAACGTTCAAGATAAATCTCAAGTATTATAAATCTTTGCCGTCATTTATCGTTCGTATGTATGTAAGTTGGGTTTGTATGTAAATTTCATTGTGACGACTGCAAATTATCAAATCACGAGTTCTCAGTCGCCTTAATTTTTTTCCAATTAATAAATCTTATTTCGATGTTTTGGGATATGTTCTTAAATAAAAATGTTTTTCATATAACATAAACTGTAATGTTTACGTAGTTTAAACTGAAAAATTTTAAATCTTTGTTTCAATACGATGACGTTATTACATTTATTAGAACGTTAGTCAGTCGGTTTTTTTTAACAAATGTAGCATCGACCATTTATCCATTTATAAGTATGTAGTTTAGGTTTAGGGAATGACTTTAATAAAAAAATTAAATGTCTATTTTTTAAAATCCTCCCAAAATACGAAAATCTTACTTTACTGCCTTAAATCTATCTTAACCCAAAATAATACGTTTACTGCTTTCAAATTACCCATAAAACCCTCTTGCTTTCTGTAAAATAAGAATATTTCCTAACTTTCTATGTCTGTTAGTATATAGTTTTCAATTTATATCATCAATAGAATACATCTAAAGTGCGGACAGATAACGTTATTATAGGAGTGTCCGCTCCGCCCTAGCCCGCCCAAATGCGTTACGTAGGGCGGCAACAATTTTCCACGGGCGTTTCTTGTACCAGGACAATATGAATGATGAGGAGTCATAAAATGCCTTTAAAACATTTGCGTCAGCTGTACAAAAAACACGCATGCGCAATAGTTACCCAATAATTCAACCAATCAGTACAGTAACCATTGTTTTGATTGTGTTTCAAAACTTTTCCAGTCGACAGTTAATAAATGAGTTAGCTATCATAATATTTATTTTGGACTCTTCATATACGTAATGAAATGACAAAGTTTTAATTTTCTTTATATGTCTACTTTTCAATAAAAAATATGTTATTTATATCTAGATCTGATTGGCTGGTTTGCTGAATTTTCTCTTTAGACCATTGACACGAAAATAAAAAAGAATTAATGTTTATAGATCGCTGAAAAGAAAAATAAACTAAATCATTGTGATGACGTCTTTGCTGACGTAAGCTACTCTTGTTATATTTTACGTAACGCTCTGGGAGCGGGCGCGAGTGGCGACATTTCACAAGGAATAAAGGGATGGGGTGTTGCGCCCCGGGCGGCGTACGGCGTCGTAGGTCGTGACGTGACGTAGGAGTGACGTCACTGGGGTGTGGGGTTGCGCCACAGGGCGGTCTCTCCCCAGTGAAAGTCGGCGTCAGTACGTTTTGAACCGGCGACGTCGCCACTCGCCTCAGTTCTACGCTAACTACGCGTGTAAGCTTAAAATCGCGTAATTTAACTTAACAAAATTTAGATACGTATAAAATTATCAAGCCGTGAAACTGTACATGTACGTATACTTTTTAATTGTGAAACGTTTTGTTTTATCCATTAAATCATCCTTGTTTACATTAGAACATGACCTAAATTATTATTCAATATTAAAAGTTACGTACATTTTTAACTTGTTTCCTAAAAACTATTTTAGAATGTATTCTATCTATTGTTTATTAAAAACAACAAAAAAAAATTATAATACCGCAAATACAAACATTGAATAAATGTGGGTATTATAGAAATAGAACATTTTCTTATCACATCACGAAACTATCCTTCACAATTCTTTAAAAACATGTAGCTCATTGACAGGACTAACGAGGCCTACGACTTCTGTTAACCCAAGCTTTTTATTTACAGTCTAATTTCAGCGGCGATGCACGAAAGCGGCTAAAAATAAACCGGGGTTCGCGCGCTCCCGTCGCCCGCCGCCGGCTCGCATTTTCATACTAGTTACACTATTTCTGTCTGTAAAGCAATAAGATATCCTACATGCGAGTGAAATCAAGTGGACAACTCTCGTGTGGACAATGAGAAAAGTGCGTAAAAAGAAACCGATTGCCGCGAGGCGACTGTGAGACTCGTGTTGTTTTAGTGTATACTAACTTTATTGTGCCACGGAATTACGACGCAACTTTTAAAGGTAAGTCATTTTTAATTTAATAAACTACATACATACATTAAAATTTGAATTAAAAAAGATCAATAACTGCTTTGAAAAGGTCAAATTTTAATATATTCGGTAAGGATTTTACATTGATTGCTCTAAAAAAATAATTTTAACGTTAATGTTAGATCTATACGTACGTCATGACGGTAGTTTGTACGTAACGAATACAAATAACTCGTCAGTCCGTGTCCCAGATATTCGAGTGCAAGTCAAGGCGACTATAGGCCGATATGGACCCGAATTGAATAACTATAGAATCATTTAATTGCCTTTCATAACAAAAATAAAATTAACCTAGTTAAAGATCTGGTTGTGACAATTTTAATTACGTAAATTCTTTAGTATGCTATTAATTGATTCCCGAGAATCAAACTCCTGTAAGTTGTTATTAACCGGTATCTCTAACCGATAAGTTATAGAGTAGTCTGTCACATCGAATAAAATAGTATGAAAACCGATTGATATAGCATCTGTTAGCTCATATAAAAATTGTAAAGATTGCGGTATTAAATGTCAAAAATTCAACTATAGGATATAGGTTAAATCCCGAAGATTGGAACACGTGCCACGAACCAGTGCAGAATTTAGGTACAACCGCGCCGATGTACGAGTATAAATAAACAAAAGACAATGCAATTATAACAATGCGAATTTTAATCAACACAGTCTTACCGTGGGTTTACACTGCCGATGTATCAAACCGATCGACGTCCCTTTCATTCTTCTTGACAAACTGAGATGACAACATATATAAACAATAATACATGTGTTTTGATGCTTTGAAATTAACGGTTAGCTTCGTTTGTTTGTTGTCCTATTTGGAAAAGCCAATCACAAAGGAAATAAAGGATATAATGTGTTATTTGCAGCCCAAAATTATATTTTCCGAGATACACAGAAATAAGGTCCTATTTGCTAAGACCAATTTTTATTGATCAATAATTTAGGTGAATATTCTGGGGCATATGTATCCGTTCCATTGTGACCTAAACGGCTTGATAACTTTTCCAGGGCGAGGTATCTTCCGATTCCTATTCAGAAGTGTTTAAAGCTATCACTCAAGATATTGTCAAGGATTTGCCATTGGTACTTCTTAAATCATTCATTTATATATATTATAGAAACAACGTACAAATCCATGGGTCGTTTACGAATCGTTTGGACACTTTCATGTGATAACTTGCTTTCATATCTTTACGGTACTAAGGCACTGATACTATCTAAAATTATATTTACAGAGAAGAGTTTCATAATCCACGGTAACGCTCGGATGAATCAAATCATTTTCATTATGAACAAATAAAAAAGTCATGAATCACTTAAAAATACTAATGAATACAATCATACGTATGGAAAAATCAATACAATACCGCGGTTATTTGAAGGTGCCACGAATTACGTCGACTATAACTGTAGCATTGGTATAAAAAGTTAATAAACAATAAAAGGGTAATAATAAAACACTAAAGAATAACAACCAGTTAAAAACATCTTTATTATCAACAAAATGTCAAATTCAAAGTCTACCACTAAATGTGTATATCCATACTAAACTACCCATTACAAAATCCGTAAAACACGACCCAAAATAGCGACTCACTATATCAAACTAGTTGACACATTTGTGATTATTTGTGCAAAAAGTTACAATTATATGTCACATCTTTATCACATAACACAATCACTATGAAAAACTATGTATACATTTGGCTACCTTGATTTTATATACAGTATTAACACCTTAAGTACAGTATAAAAAAACTTAACAACTGCCTTTAACATGATTGACTTATTAGCATATATTTATTGTTATTTTTTATAGATATATTTATTTTCATACTTATTTGAGAATGAAATAAAGTACATAATGTAAGCTATACTATGTAATAAGTAAGAAACATTTTAATTTATTATAAAATAAACATATGACAATAAATGTTAACAAAAATGACATATAAAAATGAATACATAAAATAATTACTTGTTAATTTATTATATTATAATTTAACAAAACTAAATTAACAAGAATAATAATAAATCAATATAACATGTCAACAACTAGTAATTAAAAATATATTTTTTATAATATATCAACACAAAGTTATAATATGCCTGTATCAAGATTTATTTACCCTGAAGTACTGGCAATATCAAATTATCACAATAAAAAAGCAAAAAGGAACTTTACAAACATTCATTTATGTATCTAAAATTTTTTATATAGCCCGGTGTTTTAACTGATTTAAAAAAGGAGGAGGTTCTCGATTCATCTGTATTTTTATAGTAACCATTGACTAGAAGAAATGTTAAGTGTTGATATTCATTATTTGGAAGACATTATTGCACTGTCTGTCAAGACTTTGTCTTAATTGACCTTAAAATTATTTGTGACATTTTCAATAATTACTTTTCTACAATAATCACTTACAACTAAATACACCAAAATCTATTAAAAAACTATATGTCTAACACATGAAAAAGGCACTATAAATAACTACTATAAAATCTGTGTATGAAAAAATTGTAACATCTTACAGTTAAAGATTATTTTTTAAAAATTGGATCTAAATATGATGTTACCTTTGGCCATATTTCATCAGATGTGCGGCCTTCAAAATTTTTTAATATACCTTTATCTGTATAAAAATTTATGACAGGTTGTGTCACACTTTTATATATTTCCAACCGCTTAAGAACAGCTTCAGGTTTGTCATCTGGCCGTTGGATTAAATCTTCACCAGTTACATCATCTTTCCCCATCACTTTTGGTGTGTTAAAACCTATATTATAAACTCTGCCTGATGGTAAATGAACCCAGCGGTTCTTCACCCTTTCTATTATTACTTCAAATGGTACTTCCAGGTTTAAAACTACATCCACAGGGTGCACTTTCCATAGAGCATTTGCTTGGACCACAGTCCTCGGAAAACCATCCAATAACCATGGCTTATCACTATTCTGTTTTAATTCCGCTATCATAAATTTAATTATAACATCATCTGGTACTAATTTACCTTCATTTAAGTACTTTTTGACTTCTTTTCCCAGCTCAGTTTGTTTTTCTATATGGTCCCTCAATTTGTCACCACTTGATATGTGCTCTATGCCATATTTTTTCACAATTCGGGATGATATAGTACCCTTTCCGGATGCAGGTGCACCGAGTATTAAAGCTTTCAATAATTTAGCCTTTGCAGACATTGTCAAGGCAGCCAGGCAAACAAGCTTATGTAAAATTTGACCTTTGCTCAGAATGTACTTTAGACTTTATATTTGTTTCAACTGTGCGAAATCAATGTGTGTGTTAAATTATCAGGAAAATTAGACTTACATAGCCGGTTAATCATTATCATAACGGAGTAGATAAAATTCTGAATTTATATTATTTATCTTTGAAGGTTATAATATTAAATGATACTTGCAGATACTTATCAGTCCATTCCAATTAGTTGTGTAATACATATGAAATCCTTTCATTTCTCTTAAAATATAATAAATTACTTATCGCAATACATTATCACAACAAAATTAAAATTCACTTTTGTGTCACAGACTAAATATTTTGTTTTGAACGTTTAAATGTTTGTGGCAATGTTAAATGTCAAACGTAACGTAAATGGACGCGTTCAAATCTATTATTGGGCTACGTTCGAAAGCTAAAAGCGTCTTGTATTGAATTATATTATTGCGTAATTATATAGTTTCAGTAATATTTGAATCGGAACGTAAAGAGATGCTTTAAACATATGCATAATTGCGATAAGTATATCTTTTACCATTTTATTACATTTTGATTAAAAAAATAAATTATCAAAAAGCTCACAGCTAGATTTAATTAGAATGATCTTAGAATACTAATCCGGGCCCAATAGTGATTGCAAAAACTGTGACCAATTAGTGTCTTGATAACATTTCGCATATACTGATATTGAAAAAATTTCCAGCAGTACAAAACCGAAATGTTCGGTATAAGTAGTTTAACACAACGATTCCTGTAAAATCTACCTCATGGGTATGAAATTATGTAGGTATATTGAATAATCTTACGCGTCGACTAATATTTATAAAATTGGCGTCAACTTTACACATCGAACTCACTATTTTAGCTTTTTAAACCTTTGCTCGTGATGTATGAAGATTTTACTAATTCGTTTGGTTCTTTAACTCTCACAGTCAATTAAATTAGACTACATATTTATCTGTAATCGAAGGGCTTATTAAAGATGTTGCTCATTCGATCGCAATTTGATAAAAATGAACATCACATTGGTAAAGTAATTATTTTTTAGAATGGCGCTCGTAATGTTGCCGTGTGACCTGCCTTGGTGGACTTCAGTACAGCGTCATTTAAAACATCTTCTCTTGGCATCAGCTCCTGTTAAACTCACAGCAAGCATGATGAAAATTCATGACATGTGCAAGTAAGTCCTGACTAGACTGTTTTTCACTTAATTTGGCAATTCTTTCGTTATTTTTATAAACAGTTAGAAGTTCCAGTGTCCTATATTTGTGGTAACTAATAATATTAAGCGTTTTGTAGCCGACCATAGATACTGTAATGATGTGTAATCCTAATATGCATAACGTACACCCAGTTTCGCGAAAGAATCACCGTTAGTGCGGTAGTAGGAACCTTGGGTAGCTGTAATTGGATTACTCATTATGAAACTCGTGTACAATCTAAGAATATATTGTTACTATGTCCAGCCAGAGTATTAAGACATATACTACTTTATTTCACTATGAGATGAAATAGTTCAGCTTCTTTGAAACAAGACTTTAGCATCCCAAAAACTTAACCGCTCTAAACTTATTTAAATTGTTCGTAATTTAAATAACGGTCAACTCACAAATTGACATTACAGTATAGGTATAGATCCAGATGACGACATCAAAGATCCGGATCTGATGAAAGGCTTGGAGCAATTTCTTATAGAAGAGCTATCTGAAGACGAGCAAAGAAATTTCCTCGACAACACTATTAGAATAATGGTGAACAGAGCATTGCACCTTAAACGATGGCGCCCACCTAAAGGACTTATGTTTAGCTTACAACAACAAAGTGTGTATGACTTAAATTAAATTAATACTCTACTTTCATTAAATAGAAGAATACGTTAATAGTTTGATATCTTTCAGGCGATGTTACGGAACTGGATTACAATTTTCTATCGTCACTTATTTCTCATGCATTTTTCTCGACTTTCCCAAAAAGAACGCTCAAAACGCATCCGACTTTACAAGACTTCAATTTTACACATTTTTTTAAAAATTTACACAGGTAAATAACAAATTTCCAGATTTAATACATCCCGTGGAGTTATTATTGACGTGATGTTCATTCAATCTTACAGAAAATCACAGAGAAACAAACTAAAAAGTTTAATACATTATTTTGAATGGTTGGATAAGAATAGCAGCGAAGGCAGCGTTAAACTAAGCAGACAGGTGAGGAGATAAATATCACGGAACCTGACACTGTTGGCGCATATTTAAACTGTGACTTAGTACCACCAATGTTACTGTTGCAGGTAATGACAGCAAAGCAATGGTTAACTATAGAAGATTGGTTAGAATGTACGTTGCCGCTGTGCAAGTTGTTAGTGAGGCACGAGGGACGGCCGGAGCGATGCGAAAACGATGAAGCCATTAGAATATGTTTTGCTAGCAGTAGAGTCGGCGGCGACGTCCTTATTGATGGAGATTCACAGGTAGTTAATTAAGAATACCTACTCCATGCTCAAACACAGAAGATGGTGTTGGAGAAAACTAATACCCTACGAATAACTTACCAATTATCTAAACTTTAAGGAGTCGCTGACAATGTTTATGATGCCGGAGCTGCTACCCGTCATGCTTTCGGTGGAATCGCTGGAGGACAACGAGGTGTTGAAGGCGGAAGGCGTCAGATTGTTTAGCCGGATCAGCGACAACCGCCAGAAACCTAATATCGAACTACTCTCTGAACCTAAAACAGTAAGCTGACTAAAAAAAAAAATAATTTTTCCCAAAAAAAATATGCAGTTTTTGCTGATATTTTTTCGATTATATTTATTGTATTGCAAAACAGACTTGTTTGACATATAAACACGCAGCCTGAATGGACGATTTTAACCTATTTGTTGAATATCAGTTTTGAATAATTTCTCTTCACTAACACCGACAAATTGCGTACTATGTAGGAAGATTGTAATTTCTTGTACAGGTAACCGTATGTCTAATGGACGCTGAAGATTACAGCGCCTTGCCCCTCGGTCAATGGGAAGAAGACAACGTGCTTCGGGAACTGAACAAGAGCCTGCTCGCCTTCCAGCAAGCGCCTATGAAGAGTCGCGATAGCCAGCAACGACAAGAGAGAAGATTGTCACCTATAGGTTGCCATACATTTTACATACAACAAATTAAGCTTGTAGCTTGCTTATGACCTTCTATATTTACTGTATTTTACAAAATAAAACATGAATGTCCAATGGTTACGACAAATAGTCTCCTTACTCGTGCCAAGCCTATTCCTAAATGTGAATAAAAGACGTGGGTATGTAATTTTCTCCACCTTGACCCGATAACCATAATAAAAGTAAGCCAATAAACACTAAGATCATTAAATAGAGAAGTAATGACTAATCCGAATGTTACCGAAAGTATTTAGGAAATAAATCCAATATTGCTAAACGGATTAAGTTGGTTTTCGTGTTTTTGTGTTGAAAATATTAAAACTCTATACTTGTAAATTTCAAAGTATACAATGATGTCTTTGTATAAGTTACTCAGTTAACTAACTATATTTGGGACCAACAAAATCAAAACAAACACCTTACATCATCAATAGTCTGAAGCAATTTCAATATCAATAGTAATTTTACCGGAACAAAACTCCTAAACTTAAATATTGGTACTTAAGCGTAAGTAATGAGGTTCAACTTTGCTATGCACAGGGGAATCATTTAGCCACACACCTCCTGAAGTCGAGGCGACAGTGATGATAAAGCAGTCGTCATGCAGCACAATCAACAGCTACAACAGCAGGAGTCCCTCTCCGCAGACATACTGCGCAGCCACACTTAATTTAAACGATCCCAGTAAGTTAACGAGCAAAATTAATTGATCACATGGTTTTCAATGTGATCAATTAATTTTGCTCAAATAACTCAAATAACTTTTGTTATGGTAATAAATGTTAAATATTTCATTAGAAGCAAAATACATCGAATGGGATGAGGCATCTTAAAATAAATAATTAACATTCTCGTTATTTTCCAGGCGTAGAATTAACAAAACGAAAATGTTGGTTATCTCCTGATGGAGGTGTTTTGAACAATCGAAGGGGAAGATTCATTGTGCTGGGCTCTTCGGGAGAATGTCTACCGGTGACAAGGAGTCCAGGTCTTATCAACCTGGATACTCAAGAGGACAGTCTCTATTCTAGTTGTAATTCCAGCGACGACGAATATCACAGTGCAAATGACAGCTTTGACTACGGTAAATACACCACGGTTAATTCTTTAGGCGCAAGTTAAACAAATTCTTAAGACAAAAATATAGTGTAACATAGCAAATATTTACTTAATACTGTGTAGATATTGAACTCTACCAATGGTGGACACGGAAAAGGCACACTTCTATTAGATAATGGATAATCTTAGGATTGTCAGCTGTAGCCTCAGTTTTTTGTTTTTAGATACGATTTTCCAGAAAGACTTGTCCATTCCAGGAGGTAGCGAGGATGAAGGCAGAGGCGAAAGCGCACGTCCGAACTCATTGAAGTACTACAAGGAACTATCCACTGAGGAGAGGCGGCAGAGCTTCGCGGAGAGGTTGCGGGAGGCGCTGAGGAGAGAGGCGGAGAACTCCTGCACCACCAGCACCACCGGCGATTGGTCCACTGACAGCTCCAGCTATGCACCAGGGGTCAGCATACCGTGTGCAGAACCTAATGGGAATGAAGTTAGGTAAGACTTAATGACACCTAATTACAACTTTAAATAAAGCAATAACACAATGTTCACCAATATTGTCTTGGTATTTGACGAAAATGATTTAAATTCTCGTATATTCAGGGTAAAACGCGGCAGTTCCGTTGGTTTCGTGCTTACCGACAAAGAAGTGGACAACGGCAATACTTCCTTGAGCCGACGACCGATTGAAAGGAAGGAAACAGGGAATAGTTCAAAATATAGTTTTAGCACGGAATATACGTAAGTGAATATATCAAATATGAATATGAGGAAGAAATAGTCGTTATATCTAGTAATAACACCAATAATAATTATTACAGTTCGGAATTAGAAGAAGTATACGAACAATTCAATCATTGGTTAAACGATCCCATTTGCAATAACACAACGGAAGAGAATAAAAATAAAGAGTTGGATCCCAGGGATTTAGCTGTGATAAGGTAAATATGTTATCTTTACGGTACTTAATATATTAGAAAAGACTGGTTTATTAATTATTACTATGTTCTTGAAACACCTCAAAATTGCTATAATAATGTATGGTCATGGTCGTGTTCAGGTTCGCCGGATCGCTGCTGAAGCGTACGTTGAGCGAGTCAATGGCCAGCGGCACTGCTGGCGCCAGTGGCGCGGAGGCGGCCGAGCTGTACGGTCGCGACGGCCGCGACCGCGCTACGCCGCGTCGTCTCGCTCTCGCTGCGCGCTCTCTCTCACTCGAACTAGCGCGCCATAGACACCGTCTCGCCGCACATTTGGTCAGTTACATTTAAATTTTATACGTTGAAAATACGTTACGAAACTATTGTAACCTCAATAATTTCAAACCTATCATAATTAAAGATATAAAACATATACACTTGAAGAATCAGGCTTCTAAATTATTATAGTTTAACTAATGCTTTTCTTTTATATCATACTTTGCATATGATTAAAAAGACCGCTTATTATTATAATTGCACGACACACTTCTGAAAATATAAATAACTTTGTGTATGTATGTATATGTATTTTCTTTTGTGTTTGCATTAAATAAAAGCTTATGTGTCATAACGCAAATAAAGAATTAGCGATAACCCTATATTACTATCTATACTAAACGTGGTCTTCATTTCTATTTCTTCTAAATTACCATTGATTGTAACACACAAAAACTACTTATACTCTTTCATATAATATCGTTATATTTAAACTCAATGCTAAATAAAAAAAATGTTTACTACATCATTTACGTCTGGTTTCTAAAACCTTTAATTTATGATTTACTATGTTTTAACAGAGACGTAAAGTAAAAGAGTCGATACCAGAAGAGATATTAGAGAGTACGAAAGAGAGGCACAATACCAACAATAATAGAGAGACGAATGAAGCCGCCTCACTCGACTCTTCCACAGACACATCTTCGACGCAGTTGTCCAACCCCAATTTAAAAAAGAAAAAACTAAATTGGGTTGTCAACATGATTGTCGAGACGATCGAAGAGACAGTTGAATGTGAACCAGTCACTGTCAATATAAAGAAATCTAAGGTTAGAGCGTCTGTATGTCGCTAATACTCGGACATTTGACGTGTTTACTAACTACGAAAGCACTTTCTTCGACGATAACGCTCACTTGATCAAGTTCATTGGGTTAATACTTTGTAACAAGGATTGTCTACATAATTATCGATTAGGAGGGACACCCCTGTTAACAGAGTCTCTTATAACACTAGCAACAAGACAATTCTAATTGTTACGAATACGTAATCCTAAACGCTAGATGCAACGACTTATGTAGTGTGTGTGTTTAATCGGCTTTATGTCCTACGACATGATAATACAAATATTACGGTTAGAAGGCTAAACCTGTGACATTTCTTCCCTTAATTCAAATGTAGAATGCCGTTATGACCGTTATGCTCGGAATTTGAATACTTTTGAGGATTTTACACCCTGGAGTGAATTATATTTTGTTTGTACCCTTATCCTAATTAGCGTTTTGTAGATCAAAACGCGCATCATATAGAAGCTAAAGTAGGAATTGATACTATGTGCGTATTAATAATCTTCTGTGACTTTTGTTTACTTTAAATGCTTTGGCTATCATATGACACTGTAACGGAATATCATAAAATATTTGACCTTCGTAACTACACACCAGATTCTAAAATTGCAACTTTTCTTATACATACACCCAAGAAACAAATTTAAGGAAACTTTTTGGCAATATCTAACCCTTTTGCCTACTAAATGACGCGCTTTTTTTGTCGCTTACCATTAAAAAAAAACATTTTTCGAAACTTAGCTGCCCATGGGTTTCTGAAACCAAAATCACTCTATTAAACATATTATCGTCATCCTTCCTTCTTATCATCTTTGCCAAATCTGAGATAAAGATGTTTTATACAGGGATTTTGGTCTCAGCAAGCAACGATAAGATTATTGTTTAGCACAGCTTTGATTTATCATTTTGGACATCTAACTAAATGGTAAAAGTTCGTACGCTAATCTTAATTTAGTTAGGTTATCAGTTATATGCTAATCAAAGGCTGAGTCCGTTGGACCGATTAAGATCAATGTTAAGATGCCTAGAATGAAGGCAGGAGACGAATATCACTTTGTGGCGAGACCTATGTTAAGTCAACGTCTATAATATCTTTTGTTTTTCAGCTAAACGAGCTGGCGCACAAGATAGTGTCGGGCGGGTCGTGCCGGCCTGTGGCGACGGGCAATTGGGGCTGCGGCCGGCGGCAGCGCGGACACCCGCAACTCAAGCTGCTGCTGCAATGGCTGGCCGCGAGCGTCGCCGGGGTGCCCGCCTTGATCTATTATACCTTCGGAAATGAGAAGCTCTTTAAGGTACACAAAATATAATCCGACTAATTTAAGTATACATCTTGCAATCGCTCGTCCCAGCAAATCTTGGGCCTTTAGCTATATATGCATGTGTGAAGGGAGACTTGTATTCCAAGCGCATGTTTACTATCAACATTGGGTACTTAATAATGGAAGAGTTTTTTTACGATGAAATAATTATCATCAGTTCAGAAGATTAATAATTTAACTACAACAATCGAATACTTTCTTTTTGTGATTATAGCATAGACTCTGAGAGTTTTGTAAGACATTGCAGATGTTGTTTTGTTGGACGTAGCTGGACACATTGGTTCGAGTGCTGGTGGATAGAAAATGGACAGTTGGTCAGTTAACGCGGGCGGTGCTGAAGTTCGCGCGTCAAGTACTACACGAGCCCCACGTCATCCCCGACAACCATTCCCTTTTCGACGAGTTGATCGGCATTGAAAAAATACCAGATGACTACTAGTTCTGTTAACTACGAAGACTACAGCAACGTACCGTCATGACAACGATAGTGGCGCCAAAATGACGCCATCTTATAAATATGGTATTGATAGGATTTCATTACAAATAAAAACGTTGTAGGGACGTTTTAAAGTTAGTCGGAATACTTTTCCGGCCTTAAAACGTTTCTACAACGTGTGAAATAAGATTACAAACAAAATTTGACTATTCGTACTGATTATGTATGCATTTATAAGTTCAGACAGATGTCTACGTATACCTTAATGCGTTACTCGTTACTTGTATGGAATGTGATTTTGGCAGCTGTGTCTTATTTACTCAAGACTAGTGCAATTTTAAATAGCATTAATAACATAGTTACATAAAAGCAATACTATAATTCGAAATATGATTATACAAACTTAATATTTTTGTACAAAATTATCAGTACAAGTATAATAAAAACATTTATAACAGTAGGGTTTTTTATCTAATCAATATAACGAATAAAAATTTTAAGGGCAATTTACAAATAAAAAGGCAGTTATAAATTTTACCTATTAAAGATAGTATTATAACGAACTTTTGAACATTTTCGCATTTGTTATAAATACCTACGCTGGGCTGGACTTAATCCAAAAACAAAGACGCAAAAAATACGTATCTTAATTTGTTTTCCTTAATTACAAAGTATTTTGTGTTAAAGTGTTATAGCTAAAGTAAAAACAGATGCAATATTGATTTTGACATCTTAATTAAGTACAGCGATAAAAGAATCTACATTCAAGACTATGGTTATTTAAGTACCGACGTATATAGTTTTGGAACTAATTTTGCGTTCTCTAGTCGTTGTTTTAATTGGATTATAGCCAAACAAGCCGAGCCTATTATTTGTAATGGTGTTATGTTGTTTAACACTAAATATATAGCAATTTATTCGTTCTAAACATTGGTTTACTATTAAAGGAATTTGAACTATGATTTCACGTAAATATTGTATCGTCTGGTCACTTCGCTCAGTGTAATGTTCTTATCTAAAAGTTTGTTCGAAAAGATCGTTGTGGTCGCTAAACCTTAAATTGTAACTATTTGCTACAAACTTCTTATTGTGAATCAAATAATAAAAGACATTTGAATAGGGCAACACAGATGCACCTTAGTATTGCTATCTAAATTAAAAGTACTTAACGTCAGTGGTGCCAACATACAACGTTTGTTTTCGAGCAAATTTTACTTTTATGTTGTAGACATCGTTTTACAAAGTCTTCCACTGATCGAATCTCAATGTGTCCAAAGTTTTCTTGATTTTTATGACTATACGAGTCTACCAAGTGATGAGTAATAAATGCGTCATATAAATACCCGTGTTTTTTTATTTATGTATTATATCTTACCAGTTAGTTATCTACAGATGGTACACCCAAGAACTAGCAGGAAGTCTATGGCCATATGATTATAAAATAATGCACGTATTACTTCCAGTTATTGAACCGTATATTAATTGCATTAAATGCAAATGTTAAGATGGATGGTTGTTAATCTGTTTATTACATATCTCCAAAACGCCTGAACGGTTCCCAATGATATTTGGCATACTTATAGAACAAAGCGTGGAAGAACATACAAGCTACTAAATTATGATGGGCGACAGCTAATTTAAAAATAAAACTCAATTTAATTATGCATAAGCAGCATTTATTAATATTAATTACATTTACATTCAGTCACTTTGGCGATTGTCGACCGCATGAAGGTTGTATAAAAATGATTCAAACTATACATGCATCGAATAACTGCGACATAATTGAATATGAACTAATATTTTCTTTTCAAACAGTAAAAGTATAGTTACATCATTTCACATTGTTTTGAACATGAACAACTATCCCTTTGATGACGGAAGAAATATTTTTACTGTGAATCCCAACTGTTGTAACACAAAAACACTGTATTTAAAAAATATTGCCATCCATTTAATTTTCTTCAAAAAAAAAAAGAATAGCAATAGTGCCACGCCATTTGAAGTTCACGATTATATTGTACCACATAATCACCTTTAGAAGAAACGGAATATTCGTTCAAATATTTAAAAGTAGCTCTTCCGTTTCATCTAATCCATTTATTAATATTAGCGACCGCCCTAAAAGAAAAGTCCCCTCATGCGCCGACCCATCCCCTGTCTGTCATACAGTACATTGAACCTGTTCACTAATTGGTTGATTCCGTTGCAGCCTTTGGTGATAGTGCCTAGGTATGTCATCAGAGCAACATCATTGCATTGCTGAAAAGGTATCATACATTTTATTATAAACTTGAAGAGAAAAAAGTTGATGAATAGTTTATTTCATTACAAGAACAAAAGTTTGTTATATACTTTTTACATAAAGCATATTCAAAGATTACTACTAATATGGATGCACTTACAAATAACAAATTATTTAGAATTTTGAGGACACATTAAAACCTTCCACCCTAGGATACTCTTTCCAAAATGCTTCAAACGCACAAACAGGTAAAACACACTAAATACTAGGTGTAGAACTATAAATATCAAAGAACTCACGTTATAGAAGTGTGTGCGGAACTGCTGCGAGGTGAGGAGTGGCAGGCGGTTGGCAAGCGCTCGAGCCTCGCGCAACAGGGTAGGGCGTGGCGGCAGCGTGCCGTCACGGATGGCTCGCACCGTTGCTAGCACTGCCCGCACACGTGACACTAACATCTTGATAGCTGACCGCTGCGCTGTGAGGTGCTCCGCCACTGGAACACCAAAGTACAAAAATTTTAAAAACGCGGAATACCACTTTTTTCTCTATACCTATGTTTACATGTATATACATGCTGGCGCAAGTGAGAGAGGAATGGCTAAATTAAACAATTTTAAAATAAGTAAGAGCAAAAACCCTTCATACTTGTTTAATGTTCACACCATTTCTCTGCCCCCTTTTCTTATAAAAAGACATCTATAAGTAATTTGATATAATAATAATAATGGAATTTACCTAAACTGTTAAGAGCTGCCTCTCCTGAAGACACCCTGGCCACATGGTCTACTCCAATTCTTTCTGCCTCTTCTGCAGCTAAAGTATATGTGAGCGGGGCAAGCAGCATAGTGGCGCGACCATTCACAACATCTATCACAGATTCATACAGCACTACTGGTAATTGCTGTAAAAGAAATTAATAGAACAATCAGAACTTAAATATCATCAACGGACAGGTCGACGCAGCATAGGCAGGACATCCGCAAGATGGACCAATGACCTGGTCAAGGTTGCGGGAGCGTCCTAGATGCAGGTGGCACAAGACCGGTCATCGTGGCAATCTTTGGGGGAGTTCTATGCCCAGCAGTGGGCGTCTCATGGCTGACAAGAAGAACTAAATTATAGAATTTAAACCCATTTAATGGCATTGAAGTGAACTACCAGAGAGTTGGTTTTACTTATTTTGTTAAGAAAATAATTTAACATTATAGCAAGATAGTTCATCATGGAATAATATTAATACATTTATAAGAGCAATGCAGGGAAATATGACTATATCATATGATGTGTACAACTTGAGCAACTTACTTCACCATTAATACCAGCAGGATTGAGCATAAGCATCACTGGACATTCATTTATGTCACATATCTGTCTATGAACTGCAATATCACGTTCAGTCGGTGCCTCACCAGTTGTATACCAGCCAAGGAAATCCATATCGGAAAACACTTGTTTAACTGGAATAATAAAATTAATAAAATAACCTGGAATTCTTGAGTCTCAAAGTATCACATCATTTGAAGTGTTTAGTACACTACATAAATTGACATTTTTAAGTTTTACACTCACAAACCACTGTTACTGAAACATACATAAAATTGTCAATTGTCTTCTGCTGGTTTGGTTAAAATACCATGTTAATGACATGTTAAATGTAAGAAAATTACAATTATATAAATGTTAAACAATATCAAAGTATAAAATCATGCAATAATGTTATACATAATACTCACACTGCTCTTCTTTTAAATTGTAATAATCTCTATCAATAATTATGTCACCATCAATGACACTGAACACCAACTCAAATGAATTCATCACTTCTATGTTGCGACCTTTCTGTTTACCAATCAATGCCCCAACCACTGTAACAAAAGTAAATGATCTTTTTTTTTATATCATAAAATGACAAACAAGGGGCTGCCTGAAATCGCTGAAAGTGACCATTGCCCATAGACATAGGCAATTGCATATCATATCACAAAAAGAAAATATTTCTTTCTATGCATCCTCTCATCCGGAAAGTCCACTTCCTATCCTTTTCTTACAAGGAAAAGGGTGAAAAGAGAAAGAGGACTAAATTAGGCCTCCGGGACGCACACTCATCAGACGAAATGCGGAATTGCTTCTACTTCATACCTGTCTTCTGTGATCTATTGATATTATTTAGATATCTGTTTGTTGTATCAGTACATTTACAAAAATTTTAGCTATTTGTAGCCTTAATAATATTACTTTACGTAACAAAATTTTATTATAGGTTAAATGTAGCTACTGACAAAATATTAAATACCACGTACCGGTTTGGGGCGAACCTTCTTGCGCACGCAGTCGAGTCCAATGTTCAGAAACGTTCATGATAACCAAAGGATGCAGAGAAACTGTAACAGACCCAGCTGTAGCAGTCGTGACAACGACATTTTTGTTACCACCTGGTGTTGGAGGAGCAGGTGATGTTGGATTAGGAACGTCTACCGGAGGTCCTGATGATGCACTCTCTACTTCTACTTCCATTTCAAAATCAATCCTGTCCGCACTCGTCATAGTACCAGTTTTTGTATGCAGTTACTTGATTACAATTTAACTAAACTGTGCGTGTAAATGTCAATGTTTCAGCAGAGATAAAATGTAACACAAATTTTTATTTTCTAAACAACAATTAAACGACAGCAAGCAAACCAATACCCAAAATCAATTTGCAAATCCGACAGCTTGACAGGTGTCACTGTCAGTGTTAATTTTTTGATTTTGACAATAAAATTTATGGTTTGGTGTTAATTATTTTTCAATAAGTACAAAAGTTATAAAGCGAAGCAGATGTGCCCTTTTAAACTATAATCATGAAACACTGCTTTTGCAAGGGTCTTTTGTGCAAAATAATAAAAAAAAATATGTTTTCTGTGGAACACCAAGCTCTTGCTCTTTCTTAGTTTGGTTGTCTATTATATTGACATGTCATAAGTCATATTTGACTGACGCTTAAAGATACTTCTCAATAAAAATGTTTTTGATCTATTAATTAAACAGTAGTATTAATGTTATTGTCAGTTTTACTTACGTAATAAGTAGTACTTCTTCGAAATACTGATTATTTTCGTCTATAGTGTATATGGTAGTTATGGTGCATAACCAACAATACCTCGTGATTTAAAGAAACTTACCACAGGTCAGCAGCTATTGTCTCGCAATAAGTGTTTAATTTCTAATTATGACTTCTTCAGTAACGAAGGCAGTTGGTATAGTTAAAGATGTTTCTCCACTCTATTATAGAATCTTATCAAAATTTCCACAAAATTTAACGTTCTGCTTCGCGTATGGGTCTGCTGTTAAACCTCAAATTGGTAACCAGAAAAAACACAATATGATTGATCTAATCTATTGCGTTGAGAATTCGTACCGATGGCATGGAGCTAACATTGAAATGAATCCATCCCACTATTCAGCTCTTCGATTTCTAGGCAAAGGTTTTATTGCAAGATTTCAGGAAAACTGGGGAGCAAAAGTTTACTTTAATACATTGGTGGAAATGAAGGAAGAAGATGTCACTATCAAATATGGAGTAGTGTCACAAAAAGATCTCATTGCAGATTTACTAGACTGGAATGATCTCTACTTAGCAGGTCGTCTGCACAAGCCTGTGGAAATAATAAAACAAACAAACAGCTCACAGTTGCAGAATGCTCTACAGTCAAATTTAAGGTCCGCTGTGCACACCGCCTTACTTATTTTACCTGAAACATTTTCAGAATATGATTTCTATTTTGCCATTTCCAATCTAAGTTATGCAGGTGACTTTAGAATGACGTTTGGTGAAAACAAAAATAAAGTGCGAAATATTGTTCAACCACAGTTGTTGAATTTCCGTGAACTTTATAGACCAATACTTCAACAGTTCCATGTATATGTTGACTTTGCAACCAATGACTCACAGTGTCACCAAGATATCCACCCAGAGACCAAACTGCATCATCTGATGCAGCTACCCATGGTGCCGCAGCAAAGAATTGTTAAGTTTTGGAATCATGGAGGACTTCAACAAGACATGGAGGATGTACTTAGAGCTGTTGCATATGATATAGACTGTCCTGTTATTTTAAGGCAAATCCTAAAGGATATAGTTTGGCAATCAAGTGTAAGGCAATCATTAAAAGGCATACCAACTGCCGGATTTCTGAAGTCAATCCGTTACAGCGCTAAGAAAATAGCTAAGATGTTTTAAATCATTTACATACCTTGTAGAATCTGTAAAATAAAATTAATTTGTAAATAGAATAATTTATTATTTCTTATCCTATTTATTTTAAACCTATTTTTGGTTTTAGGTACAATTATGCTATCCGATGAATCAAGCAGTGACTCAGAAACAGGAAGATTCAAATGTAAGACAAAGACACAAGATGAAGCAGGTCACCATTCTAAATCGAGAGATAGTTCATTGCACACAAGAGATTCAAGAGCTTCAGGAAGAAATAGGAGGAATGAGAGTGAAAGATATCATAGGGAGTTTGATAGACGAAGAGATGATAGAAGAGAAGCTTTTGAGTCTCGTGAAAGGGACAGGCATAGGTATTCAAGATATTCACCAGTAAGAAGAAGACGATCAGTTGAGAGAAGTAGGCATAGGGAAGATTCACAAGAAAGACGAAGACACGATAGGGACTCTAGAGAAAAATCCAAACACAACAGAAGTAGAAGTAGAGATAGAATGCGTAGATCAGAATCTAAAACACACAGATCTCCGATTCATATCAAAAATAAAAAAGAAAATATAATCGAAAAGAAGACAGATAAAGATGAAGCAAATGAATTAGATAATATATCTTCATCCAGTGAAATCAAGTCGAAAAGATCTGAAGTATTTAAACCAGATCCCCAAGAGGTGACTAGGGAAAAGATTAAAAGTCCTATTGTAGTTGAAGTTCATGGTGACAGTGACAGTTCTGTAGGAGAAAAGCCGGCTTCTTACTACAACATGATACCTGCAATTATAAAAGAGAAATCAGACGAATCTAGTGAAATAGATTCTTCGGATGATGAGAAACTTAGAGCAAAACTTTTAAATTTGGAAAAACAAGTAAATAAGACAAAAAAGAGAAAACACAGAAAGAAGCATAAAAAGAAAGGGAGTAGGTCTGATAAAGAAAAGAGTCAAGAGTCCACAGCTTCAGTGGAAGTGAGCAGTACAACAGATATTCAAGATAAAATAACCACAGATAAAATAAGTAGCTCTGAAGTTCCAGAAGTCACTTCCACACAGAAGAGTGGGCAAAAAGAGACCAGCGAAGAAGGTGAAATACTAAGTGATGATGAATCACAAAGTCCCATAATTGATCCAACTGACTTGAGGCACAAACTCAAAAGGACTACACTGCAGTCTGGTGTCTGTGGACCTGCCTTGCCTCCACATTTGGAGAAAAGATGTGATAAAAGTTCATCTCCTGGGACAGAAGGTCCAGCCTTACCTCCACATTTATCAAAAAAACCGCGCCATTTAGGTAAGCATCAGAAGAATAATTATTTTCATTTTATATTACTTTAAAATTTCTATTAATTTGTCTTCTATCTTTAGGTCCATCAATTCCTAGCAATATGCGTAAGGTGCTTGAAGAGAAGAGTCAAGAAATAACTCATTATGAGAGTTTAGATGAAGATATTAGTATTGTAGGTCCATTGCCAGTTGGGGCTGAGGATAAATGGACTAATGCACATAAAAGTCTAGAAGAGAGAGCATTAGACATGAAAATAAAGAAATTAGATGGACACACATTGAACAAGGTTGATGTTAAATCGAGAGAGCAGTGGATGTTGGAATTACCGGAAGGAAAAACTAAATATTTAGGTTTAGAGGCACGAACCTTCAGAGCAAAAGAAGGCCCAGATATGAGTGACAGGTAATATAAATAACTCCTATCAACAACAACAATATTAAAAACAAACATACAGATAATACTTTCCTGGTTACAAACACTATGTTTTGAGTTTGCTAAATTAATTTATTATGAATAAATATAATGTTTTTGCACATTGAAAATAGAACATATGTGTGTTTTTAATTAGGTCAAGTTGGACTGATACTCCGGAAGATAAGGCTCGCAAGGCAAGTGGGCGTGTGAAGGAGGAAGACGCGGCAGCCGCCCTGGAGCAGGAAGTGCGGCAAAAACAGATCGCAAGCAGGGACGATGAACAAGAGAAGGCAATAAAGTTAGTAAACGTAATTTTTTTTATTATTGAAATAGAAAGGTTCAAACCTCTTAAATGGAGGTCAAACCCCAAAATTGTTCCTGAATGCGTTTATATTTAATTAGGTAATGATCTAGTAATAATTGTTATGTAAATAATTATAAAAAAAAAACCTGTCGTATCTTATTACAGAAAACATAAGAAAAAGCATAAAAGAGATGAAAGTTTACTCGAAATGCATCAGAAGAAAATAAAAAAGAAGAAGAAGGTAATTTTAATTACTATAGAAATGTAAATTACTTGATCATATTTAAAACTCTTCTAATATTAATTAATCTGTTTAATTATAGAAGGACGATAAAGAAGACGAGAAGCCGGAACGACGACCGTTCAGTCGGGACGTCGACCTCCAAGTAAACCGCTTTGATGAGGCACAAAAGAGGTCCATCATAAAGAAAGCGCAAGAATTAGATTCAAGGTTCTCACGCGGTGAAGCAAAATATTTGTAAAATAGCTTAAAATGCAAGTTTACTTATGTACTACTAATTAAATAATTTTTTTTAAAATAAAATGCAAGTGATTTTGTGAAACATTTTAGTGTAGTTTTTGTAACGTAAATTAAATCGGTATAAGTAGCTGCAAAATACTTTGTGATTCAATCTTCATAATATAGGTATGTTGTAATAACTAAGTTAAGAAATCCGTAAAGTTAAAATAAAAGTATGCATAATACTTTAAACTAATGCTGTTCTATGTATATTCAATACAAAACAGATATTATAGCAAACGGATATAGTAATCGCAGACTTACCGTGGGTTTCTCAGACCAAAATGCCTGTTTAAAACATATTGTGTCGGTTTTCTCAAAAATAATGACAGTGATAACGATATGTTTTATACAGTGATTTTGGTATTTAAAACCAAGGATTTAAAAACAGACATGTTTGTATACTCAGTTTAAACATTAAAACAATGCGAAATAAATCCATAGACAATAAAAGTTATTGTCAGCCATTGTAAATTTGATTTTTCATTTTCATTGAATTCGATTACAAGTACGCTTATCGAATAATAATAAAGGAAACGTAAGCTGCCACTATATTAAAAGTTTATTGTTCTCTACCTGAACTTATTTATAGTTTTAAACTTAGCGGAATTGATTAAAATTAGACAAGTCCTTAGAAAATTTAAAAAAACGGAATTACGCGAAAATAATATTAAAAACTCTCTCGTTTTGTCAGTACTTTTATTATTCCGATTGAACTATTGTGTGATATTTTGTTTTTATTTCTTTTATTTTAAAGTGCGTCTGTTATACGCACAATTGGAACACGGAAAAGGAAATACATTTTAATTCAGATATGTCTTTGTTTTATTAACATCATATATAATTTTAAATGTGGAATATATTTAACGTCTTAACTAAACATATAGCAGCTATATCAAGGTAAGCTTCATTTGTATGTCAGATATGTGTTTTTAGGTTTCACATAACAGTCTTGGGATCGACAACTGCAGTGGTGTTGTCTTTCGGTGCAGACGCGCATGTCTTAATCTTCTCGTTTTCGCAGCAGAGAGGCTCATCTGCAGTCATATCTGCGTATATCCAAGGATTTTCGCACACTTTGAAAAACGCCGATAGCTGTAAAGAAAAAAAATAGGCGCTTCTTATTTGTATATATATAAAAAATATTGTCTGCTATATATAACTTTTCAAGGAGGACGGTTAAAAGGACTCTTAAAATTAAATGCTTTTCGAACGCAAAAATTCAATTGCAGATCTTTTTCATCAGGCGCTATTAAGATGATATAGATCCTAAAATTGGAAAAGAGCAAATACTGAGATCCTGACTTCATATTAGGAGTTTTAAGTTTGGACGAGTTTCTACTGACATGTAAAGTTAGTGATTACCTTAAGTTCATCAGCGTCCTTAAGTCTCTTGCAGAGTATTTCGGGGCCTTTAGCTTTGGTAACATTGGCGAGGGCGACGCAGAGGTTCTTGCAAGCAGTCTCGCCTTCCTCGTTACACTTCACCATGAGACCGGGCGACTGAGCCAGCAGCGGCGCGCTCTCCGCCGTTATAGTCGACGTCGAGAAACCCCCGCATGTGCAGTTACCTTTTTCATCAGGATTCGCCGGGCTGTAGAAAAACATACAAAATGATTAAATGCTTTAATCAGTCATTAAATGGATAAATAAGAAATTCGTTAGTAAAAAATACGAAAAATTTACACTAAAGACTTATATTTGACCATTAAAATGAGACTAGGTACTGCAGTTAGCTTAAATAGCGACGAAAATTAAGTAATTTAGTATATCACTGTATATTCCTATCCGAACAGATTAGTTGTAAAGAACCAGAAGAACATGCAATATGGTTTTACAAATCTTACCTCTTTGTTGCATCCTCGCCAGAAGCCGTATTAATTATTACTACTAACAAAATGAACAACTGATTTTTTGAAATTCTTAAAGCCATTTTGGAAGCAATGCCGGACCTGAACAAGTGAAGATTCAAATTGTGGCTAATTTATATACGAAACTTTGAGTAGGGTGTCCATGCTTTTAACGACAATGAATTATTATTTCTTTGACATGAAAATACATCCAAGTCTACAGTCTATTTGCATGTAAAAGTGGCATAAATTAAAAGTTAATACTAGTGTAAAGTAAAAGGGAAGAAGCATATCGCTCTGCTTGTATTTTAAATTTCTCCTTAACAGTTTATTTAATGACTGTCCTGTTATAACTTATAGAATTTCCTTACCATAACTTTCACAATAAAAATAGTATTTTTATCTTTATGTACAAATAAATTTTATGATAAATGCTTTATTTTATTTAATTCATCCTTATTTAATAGGAACACTTTCTCCTTAAGAAAATCCTCTTGAAAATTATGTACACCTGAGCGCAATACCACTGGAAGATGTTTTGAAGAACAAGATATTGTTTTGGTTGGGCTTCTTATACAATATGTCGTTACCCAGCGACGTGTGTAAATGCTACTTTTGTTTGAGCAGATATTCGAGCCGTGTTATAATTTGATGTCGGGGAAGATCTTATTTTAAAAACCATTGCGACACATCAATTATTTTAATTATAGATTTTTAAATACTTACGCTCTGTTATATTATAAACGTTAAATTGAATAATTTTAAAACATGACCTTATTTGCATACCTTAGCCTGAGAGAATACAAATAAAAAAATTAGGGCTGATATCCAAAGAGTACGTTGTGTGTGTTGTCATTGATGTATTGAGTCTCTTTAAAAACAAATTCAATTACTCTTCCTCCATGCAACTTGCCTTAAGGAAGTAAATCGTAGAAGGCATATAGTAGCTACAACCGATCAATACAAATTACAATGTTACTAATATTATAAATGCGAATGTTCAGATGAATGGATGGACGGATTTTAGTTTGAAAGTATCTCTCTGGAAAAACACATAGGCTACTAATTAAGTTTATATTTAATATGACGTGACGGTGTCGCGGGCGACAATACTAGTAATAAATAAAAAATGTTATTCTAATTTTCACAAATCTGACTTCGCTGAGTAAAAAAATATCAAAGTCAGTTTCATGTATAATGCTACTAGCAGTCGCTCAAGACACTTTAAAAAAAACAATTAGCAGCGTATGTGTTCTTGCAGACTGTGTTCTATATTTATGCCAAATTTGATAAGTTGCATTCAGAACAGTAGTTTTCAGAACTGCGATTTGCGTAATGCAACCAGCATACCCCACGTTGTACCTACAAACTCAACTCAATAAAAATGTCATTCTTTTCTCCCCTCTCCATGCTATGTATAGACAAAGTATCTGGAAATAATAATCTAATTTTAAGAGTGGTAGAACCCGCTTTAACATCTTCGCACGAATTGGCCAGGTTCGCCCGGTGAAATACCACCACCACACAGAAAACAGGCGTGAAGTGGAAGCAATTCCACGTTTCGTCTGATGAGTATACGTCCCGGAGGCCTAATTTAGTCCTCTTTCCCTTCCCACCCTTTTCTTATAAGGAAAGGATGGGAAGTGGAAGTGCATGGAAAGGGAAAATAGGCATAGGCAACGCATATGCAGTTGCGTATGTCTATGGGCAACGGTCACTTCGCTACTTCAGCGATTTCAGGTGGCCGCTCGCTCGTTTGCCACCTTATGATATAAAAAAAAAGATAGCGAACATTTATTGCAGTAGCAGCCTTCGTCGAATCAGATAGACATTTTAGGTTATAATAAAAGTCAAAGTTTTTTTTTTACATCATTTGTGTATTTCAAATACTACATAGCAGTCTTTTATCCGGGAGGAAGTTGATATTTATACAATGTATATATACACAATACATATACATACATTTAATACTAATCTAACAGTTATTAGCACTAGGCCTTATATCAACTGGTTGGGTGGACATCCATTTCAATTAAAATTATGCATTGATTTAAGTTTAAACAACAATAAACATTTGCTAAAACAATTAAAATCAAAATTAGGTACTTTGCGTAAAGTTATTTTTTTATAAGAGTAGAGGACAAATGAGCAGCGGGAACACAGAAGTATTCATCAAGGCCCATGGACATCTGCAAGACCAGAGGAACCGCAGATACGTTGCCAGCTTAATAATAATATAAATGTGGTACTGACGAAAAAAAATTCATAGAAAAAAGAATAACATATGAAAATCATTAAATACATTCAATTCAATAAAATATACATACAACAAAATACAGTTTTTGCTTTATACAGAGCTGTTCAGAAATTATATGAGAGAGGTAAGCTAGCTTACAAGCAATTTATGATATGTATATGAAAAATAGATAATTACCAAGACTTTTTACGTAAATTTCATAGTTTATTTTATAACTAGAGACTGACAAAGTTTAGAAGTGGAAACCCAAAGATTTGTATTTGTCAATATTTAAATGCATGTTCTTTCATGTCCAATATTGATAAATCTTAAAATACAAAGTACAGTACAGAATGTTTATTTTTTAACATTTAAAATATTTATTACTTACAGCAGTTACCTTAAAAATCATTATTCCGTAATACTATTTCCAAAAATCTACAGCCTCTGTTGCCCATCTTCGAACAAATGTGTAAAAACTTCATCACATGTAAGGCAATTCCCTATACATCTTTATATGTAATCATTTTTTTATTGTACATCAACACTTTCTTATATTAATTTTTCATAACTTAAATGCTTCACATAGATTCTAAATAATTACTCAACCCTACATTTCCGATTGTTAGCCTCATTGCAAGAGCAATGAGGCTCAGAAGAGGGGAGTTCCGAAAAAAAAAATCGAAACATCACAAGGAATGAAGAACTAAAATTAGTTATCATATGTTTTTTTTTCTGACTGATGAGTAGATTATTCTTACTAATATTATAGATGCGAATGTTTAGATAGATGAATATTTATTACAAGGAATCTCCAGAACGGCTCAACAGGTCTCGCTGAAATTTTGCATAATTATAGAACATAGTCACAGAATGCATAGGCTACTCATTCTTTTTCATTCCGCTGGAACAGAGTTGCGGGCAACAGCTAGAAATATTATAAAAAATTTAATCATGTTTTGTACATACATACTAAATATATGCTAAGGGTCACTCTTTGTGAACAATTAACCACTCTGGGTATAACAGTAAAGCTGTTAAATCATTGTCTTTATAACACTTATCACTTTGTAACTAATGTCACAATAACTCCAATATGAAACTTTTTAGTATTATAAAATACTGCTGTCAAAAGGAAATATTATCTTTGGGGTGCAGGTTTAGGTTTTGGCATTTTTCCCAGGAGTCCTTGTATTTCTTTCTTTTCATCATAACTTTTCCACATTTCATATAAATTGATAATAGATCTCACTATTTCTTGGATCTGAAGAAAAAAAAAATCTTGTAAATAATTAACAAATACAAAAAACTAATAAATTGGTATTTTGGTTTGACTACAACATGCATCTGTAGTAAGTTCCCAATAGGAATGTGCATGTCAATGACTCCATGTTGTCATAAATAACTAATTTTGCTTGTGTTTTTGATTTAGGTTGTGATTGTTATATCTTGGTTTAGTTTATTTCTATTGTATGAACAGTATTGTACAACTCTAACATGCAATACCTTATCCATGTCAACATTGAGTTCCGCAAACCATGGTTTTAGGTTTTCCTTTCCAAGCATTACACAAGCTATATGCATGGCTCCAATTGCAATCTGTAAAGTAAATTAACATTGTATGTCAGTATAGTGATTTTCATTTAGACTGCTTTTTCTTAATTTTTAAATTATTACAAAAGTGAATAAAAAGTAATGTATACACAATTACCTGGTAAGGTGGAAAAAGTAAACTGACATCGGTTCTCAGAGAGTCATTAACAATTCTCCAAGCATATGTAAGCAGTTGTTCATCTGGTCCTATATCTTGCACAAACAACAGCAGAGGCCGGTATGGCTGGTATACAATTAGACAGCAATCAAGATTTTCTAAAAGGTAAAACTCACATTCTAAAATGTGATTTGTCCGATAAGGAAACTCCTGTTGTCCGTATGCATAACTAAATTTATTCTTTATAACGGTTTGGCAAGTAGTTATAAGTCTAGAATTTGATATAACACCAAACTCTTCAACCTTCGAAGCGAGAAACACGCATGTAGGCGATAAAAGCAGAGGGTCTATGCATTTCAAGGAGTTTCTCGCATAAAATCTCTTAAAGTAAACTGTAGCCGTCGCTATAACTTGCTGTCTAAGCTTAAGTTGCTCTCCTAAAACTTGAATTATACTTGCAAAGAAGTTGAATATTTTTTGATATTCTTCTTCTGTCAAAATGTTTAAATCGTGCTGTCGATCTCTGACCAAGTCTTGCTTATCTAATATCCATTGTTGATGATGTGAGCTTTGCCAGAAATTGCCTGCCATGATAAATACTAAAACATAATCTGAGAAATTGCAACAATTTACTATTCGCGCTTTGCTTTACAATACAAAACACAGACGTAATTTGACAATGACAATTCTTGACAAGTCACTTTGACCCGTCAAAGTATTTAAAAATTCCAACTTACCAACTATTTTTATAATGTAAATTTGGTATAAATCATTTATTAATGTGTCTTTTTAAGCGACTGACAAAGATTTTTATGTTGGTTTGTATGTATTTAAATTCCATTGCGAGTACCTAGAGCTTATGATTGACTGTACCGATTTCGACGAGGGAGGTAGGGTCGGGTGTTAATTCAACGAATTAGTTGAATCACCGTTGATCACCCTTCAACCCACTTCAACCTTTTAGCCGTTAACCTTTTTTATCTAACTAATTGAATTTATGCAATGCACAAAAAATCAAATTTATGTGAGCTATACTTTTAAACCAGTTCAGAGCTGATACACGTGGCTAGGTAGTTTACATCAGCACAAGAGACATACAGTGGATGTAAGAAATAAAGTTCTAAATTATTAATAAAAATAGTGAGACTTAATTAATCCCACTGTCTGAGCAATTAGTGATAAAATAGCAAAAATTTTATCTTTACCAAATCCAAGCCATTAAAAATAAGTCTATATTATCAGCAAACAACTGCCTTGAAACATGCGTAAGCGCACAAGGTTCGTAACGGTTCGACTTTTTTTTTTAATTGGATGCAGAAAATACAAGTTCGCTTTCAATTGAGTGTGAAATTATATTATTAATATTTCTTTCGGAAAAAATCAATTTAAGCTAAAGACTGACATCAATGGTAAATTTCTACATCGGATGTCGTTACCTAGCAAAATCCTTATGCTATAGACTTTATCCACTAATCGATTAAGGAATGAACATCGGATTAACATGCTCTATAAAATGTTTTCAGTTTCGGATAAAGCAGTATAGAATTTTTTTACATTCTTTTTTTATATCATAAGGTGGCAAACGAGTGAGCGGCTACCTAAAATCGCTGAAATAGCGAAGTGACCGTTGCCCATAGACATACGCATACTCTTCCGGAAAGATCACTTCCACTTCCCATCCCTTCCTTATAAGAAAGAGGATAGGAAGGGAAGGAGGACTTAAATTAGGCCTCCGAGATACACACTCATCAAACGAAGAGCGGAATTTCTTCCACTTTACGTCTGTCTTCGGTGTGGTCGTGGTATTTCATCGGGCGAGCCGGGCCAATTCCTGCGAAGTTGTTAAAACGGGCTCTACCACTGTTATTTTTCTTTGGGATGGCATTTTATTTGTTCTTTGGCATATAGGCCATTCGAGATTCATTGAAAGTCCAGCAAAAAGTGCAATATAAGATATAATAGTTGTAAATCGTTATTCAAAGCGCTGTAGCAAAACTAAAAACCCATTACCCCCTTAATGGCTACAAGATGTACATAATTATTAAAGCATTACATTGTTTGTCGTTATAGTCTAGTGTTAGGCTATCATAAAATTAAGAAACCTAAGATAATAAGACCATCGAATAGTAATTGATTAATACCATATTATTTAAATACATGTAATAAATACTTATCGAATGCATTATAACAACAATTTGTGTATAATATTTATTTGAGCAAAAAATCAATTTTGTGTAACTAATGACTTTAAATCGCTGAACAATAAAGTCCATGAAATTTCATATCATATATTAGACGCGTTTTCTGCAACTTTATTTAGTTTCTGATTGACCACGCAATCGGACCTCTCCAACATGAAGAGTTTTCTATTGTTTTGTTTGGTCGCTTGTGCGTACGCCAAGACGTACAACGAACTTTCTGGAGCAAGTAAGTAACATTATCACGTTTATTACGACAGAGTCTCAATTTCATTACATCGTCTGTTCATCATTCTAGACCAACCCGAGGTTAATCCAATCCTTAATCTATAATTTCACCTTTCTTATATTATATAGATTCTACGCCGAAGTAATGATGGTTGTAAAATCGTTGGAACAATCAGAAATAAGGAGGTGATACCTATATATCTACTCCATTGTTAAGGCTAGTCCTGGCGGAGACAATACGGTGCTTCTAGATATGATCAGTAGCTCTAAAACTGGATTTTACTAACTGTAATTGTATATTTTTAACAGTACCATATGGTTGGGTGGATTATGGGGCTTACGATGGTTTGTATAAGATCGGCAATGTATCAGAAAAATACCTGCCTATGACCATAGACGACGTAAAAGCCAGCAAGAGAGGCGCTCAGTTTCTTCACGACGTAAAGATATTCTTCCCAACTGGATTCTACACATTGCCGCCGTTAGATCCATATTATAAAACTAAAATGCCTCCACTCGTCGTTGCTGATGACATTAACCTTTCGTAAGGATCCACCGTTTGTTCTATTTACATTCACATTATTTCATTGATTAAATCACCAACCATCGCCCTCGACTTTGTCAACGTGTAATATGTTAATGTTAGCCTATTGGATATTCCAAATTATTATCTATTCGTTTCATACTTTCCCAAATATGTTTAGCCGTTCTGGAGTTACGTGTTACAATCATCTTTCGCATTTATAATATTACCATCTGCACGGCATTAGGAAACAACTGTAAGGTAGTGTAGTAAGTTTTCTGAATCTAAACCAAGTTTCATCCAGATCTATTCAGCCATTCTGGACATACCATCTAACATCCATCCAAACAACCAAACTTACGAATTTACAATATAAGTAAGATTAGGATAATATGTATACATTTCTTTACTTTTCGTTTATCTCAAAGTCCTGATGTTTACCTTGCATCTATTTGTAATCTTAATAGCAGTCGCCAGTGACACTGTCCGCGCGAAATTAAAAAAAAAACCTTAATTAATATGTATCCTTCTAGGCATTATTCTTCATCTAAGCCAAATTTCATATTTTATCTAAAAATTCGCATTCATGATATTAGTAGGATTTGTGGGTGTGTTCCCAGCGTCGACCTACGACATGTAGATTTTATTAGATTTTCCCAAATTCACGTTTTTCTGTAGAAAGGACTTACGAACTTACAAATACACTTTTCCTTGTTCTTCTTCTGGTAGTGCCATCGTCTTTCGAATGTCGGCGGTCATTAAGGCAACTTGCCCTCTTGATACGGCTCTACGAAGCGAACGGGTACTCTTTTCGAACCACTGGCGTAGACTCTTAAACCAGGATGTTAAATATACTTACAACTTATAGTAAAAACCACAAATACAAATACATCGAGTAGACAACTTTAACAAAAAACTAATTTATTCACAAGCTGGTGTGTTGTTGCAGGATTCACGCAAGTCTATCTAATTTCAACGTTACTGGATTAGTTTCATTTACCAGTGATTTATTGGAAATACGTTATGGTAACGGTAGAGTGGATTACAGAATCTCGGTGCCGCAAGTACAAATTGTTAGTAAGTATAGACAGTCTCTATTTAGGACAAATAGAGCCGTGGCTTCGAATCCATAATCTGTTTTTGAAGTTCAATATACCGATAATAGGCAATACATATACTGATTAAGGAGGAACTTTAACTTGTCTTAATGTCGTGTTCAGTTCACATTTTCCTGTCAGTTTTTAATCTGCGTCGTCTATTCTCTTGTAATTTCTTCATATAAAGAAGAAAATACAACTTATAATCTCGTAAAATACAATAATTACCAAAAAAATTATGAAAAGAATGTTCCAATATGCAAACAGTAAAAATAATAAATTTCACTATAACAAAACAATAAGGGTTTGTACATAAGTGACCCCTACTTATTAACATTGCTTAAAATTTATTTATATATATATGTGGTTTACCTACTAATTATGTTCTACATTTCAGCCATTGCTGATATTCGTTTGTTGGTTGGTCGTCTACTTCCATTCAATGCCGACGGACAGTTAAGGTAATTTGGGTTTTGATTGTTATGTGCCTTGAGTCCTCACAAGCCTGCTTTATGGAGTGAACGCATAACGTTCTTCTTTCTTTTGGTTAAATTAGATATTATCCTTCGTCTCGTCTGAAAGTCTTCCTCCTCATTTCCTAAATTAGGTAATCAGAGGCAAGTGAAATTCAGTACATTTCGGCGATATTGATATTTGACTTTATTTTGTGTAAATTATGATAAAGTGTAAAATAAAGGTAATGTAAAGGAAAGTATTTTGGAATTTACGAGTTCATCGTAAATTAGCTATCTCCCGCGACACAATCCGCGCAAGATTAAAAAAAAACTTATTTAGCACTTCAACTTAACTTTCTTTCAGACTATGTTCTGTAAATATCTAGCTAAAATTTCAGCGAGATACACGCAGCCGTTCTGGAGACACCTTCTAACAAATCTATCCATCAAAACATTAGTAAAATTTTAGTTTGTTTATGGTGTGATTTGGTTTGTAGCGTAATCCTGAATGACGTGGTGGTGCAAGGCGCATTGCAGGTGGTTAAGGTGCAATCGCAAGGCTCTTTGGTGTACCAGCTCCGAGGGCAGCACACGCGCCTGCACGTCGACGACCTCAAGGTGACATGTCACATATACAGGAGTAATGCTTCAAGTACAAGAATTCTGCGTATCATCAGCGGAATATCGAAGACCCAATAGAGTCTTCTGCCCCTTTCCTACCTTTTCAAATAAGATGCGATGAAAAGTAAAGTGTATTTGACAGAAAAGGGGATAGATATCATGAAAATCCTTTTTCTGAATATTGTGTCGTCTGTACATAAATCAGGCGCCGTTGCGTTGACTCGTCCACCATCTAGTGCTATAAAAATACATGTAATCGCGGCGCATTTCCGCGCCATCTTAATTGGTTGTCTAATGATACTTAGGATATATTTCCAAGAAGTGATGTGAAACCATTTCGAATAATTTCTTTTTTATTCTAGGCGCAATTTATGCCATATTTAAAAGGACGTAGCCTTAACTCCAGAGTCCTGGGCTATGATTCTGGCGAATGGGACGATTTTCTTCACCGTCTGTTGGATCACGTAAATGAGTACCTAGCTAAAATGGTCTACAATCAAGCTAACGAAATTCTCGACGGGCCGACCGTTGATCAAGTAAACGCATATCTCCTGGCTAGTAATCCCAAATTAAGCCGCTTGTAACCGGATTATAAATGTTCTAATAAATGAATTCAAGATATATTTGCTTATTATTATAGTTAATAGTTTTATATTATACTTTTAGTTCAACCCATTTATATGAGACTAACGGTCGCCCGCGACACACGTCCGTACACGGCCGTACGCGCACAATTAAAAAAGAAACATAATTAGTAGCCGATGTGTTGTTCCAGGCTATTGTCTATATATCTGCCAAATTTTATCGAGATCCGTTTAGCCGTTTTGGAGATACCTTCAAACAAACATCCATCCTTCCATCTATCTAAACAATCGAATTTATAATATTAGTAAGATTTACATCAAGGTTTTAGAGAGGCGGGATTACGGTGACAGCCTCGATGCGCTCCTGAAGAATAAAACAACAAAAAGTCACCCACAATTCTTTTAGTCAACTAAATGAATCAATCTGTTCAGTTATTCAAATGACCCTCACTAGAATGGCTAAGCCAGCAATTCTAAAGTATCGCATATTTTATATTAACTAGCTATCGCCCGCCACTCCTTGCGCGCGGAATTAAAAAAAAATTAATTACTAACCTAAGACTTCTTTCAGACTATATTCTACATCTGTGCCAACTTTCAGCGAGCGAAACATCTATACATCCATCAAAACATTCTTGCTTGCTTGTCAGCCATGACTCGCCCATTGCTGGGCATAGACCTCCCCCAAAGATCGCCACGATGACCGGCCCTGTGCTACCTGCATCAACCATAATAAGCGGGTAGCATAGGACCGGTCATCAAAACATTCTCATTTATAATATTAGTAAGATAGATTAATGTTAATAACTAGCTGTCGCCCGCGACTCTGTCTGCGTGGGATGAAAAAAACTTAATTACTTCCCGGCCATTATTCGAATTTTTCTCACCCTTTAAACCTTCCCTAGACCTCCACGAGCATTTCAAGACCCAGATAAGATAAATCCGTTCAGCCATTTTCGTGTTTTAGCGAGACTAACGTACAGCAATTGATATTTATATACATAGATGTTAAATATGTCACCGCAGCGTTTCGCCCCATTGCAAAACGTCAAAGTATAAACTGTTACTGTGGTAAAAGTATACTGCATATATACTTACTTACAAGCAGGAAGAGTCAACCATACCTTCGAACCCGCTCGAGTTGCTTAAAGCACTTTTTTTTTACATATTTAAAGCCTAATTTCCTTTTGCCATCACTCAGTTAAAATCTTTCCTAAACTTCTCATCTACTATTCCTCGTCCATTTAGCATTTGTAGCAAAATCATAACGTTCTAACCGTGTGTTTCGGAGACTAAAATCTCCGTTTAAAATATATTGTTTTTGTTTTCAAAGACAGGGATGGCGATATATTTTATTAAGAGATTTTGGTGTCAAAAACCAACGATTAGTCAGGTCAGTTGTTTACGCACATTACGTCAATTTATCTTAATCGAAGGTAATACGAGGGGACCTAGTGTATGATCTTTTTCGTTGAATACCTGCGCTACAGTAGTCGCAGCCTTGCAATGCCTGTTTCAGATAGACTTTTGTCTTTGGTTAAGTGTACGTTATATAATAACTAAAACAAACATATAAATTTCTTTGGATTCAAGATACTAACTAGACCAACAGCTTATTCCATGTGTCAAATAATTTAATTCATACTGAAGATCATCTAGACCGCCTAATCATTAATCTGATGATTTACCACGAAAATAAACGTTAATTAAGTTTCATTGTCCTTACGGAGGGTCGGCATAGTATGTACTACCCTTTCATGTATCTCTATCAGGCGTCATCTTAATTCACGCCCTTCTTACGCATATTCTATTTCACACAACTCATCCACATTTTCTTCGGTCATCCTCAACCTTTGCCACATTAAAGCTCATTACTTTCTTAGTAATACGATAATCATCCCTCCACATAACATGAAATAACTATCGATTTTTCCACCAGAACAAAAGCCATGTTAGCTACTCAAGCAATACTGCATCTATCGTGCAGTATTAGTAAATAGAAACAAAACCATTTAAATGAACTCTTTAATAAACGTTAAACCATAAAATAGGTAAATACGATGTATAAGTACGTATCTAAGTACCTGGATGACCGAGCTTTGCTCGGTATTTTTATTTTAATTGTGTTTTTTGGAAATTGGAAAACACGAATAAAATAACATTTTCCAAAAATGATTCCTAGCTAGATCGATTTATCGCCCCCGAAACCCCCTATATACTAAATTTTATGAAAATTGTTGGAGCCGATTCTGAGATTCCAATTATATATATATAAATACGGTAGAATTGCTCATTTAAAGGTATAAGATATGTCAATAATAATGGTATATCAAATTTTCATTTGAGCATGAAATCGATTTCTCGTAACTAATAACTTTAAAATGATTGCATAATAAAAAAAAATAAGTAAATCAGGTCACCATATATCAGAGATAATGTTTTTAAGTTAGTTTATTTTTTGGATAACCATCAGGCCGCTTGGTGTTCCAGCATGAAGATCGTAATCCTGATAGGTTTTATTGCGTATGTGAATGCTAATTTACCTTTGGAATTAAACGGATTGAGTAAGTATGTAGCTTTAATTAGGATTTTTTAATATCAAAAGACGGCAAACGAGCGAGCAGCCACTTGAAATCCCTGAAATAGCGAAACGAGTGTTGCCCATCGACATACGCAATTGCATATGCGTTGCCTACCTTTTATCGACGGAGGAGAGAATACACGGAAAGAAAATATTTTTCTTTCCCATGCATCACGTCATTCTGAAAGTCCACTTCCACTCTCCAACCTATCCATATTAGAAAGAGGGTGGGAAGGGAAGGAGGACTTAAATTAGGCCTACGGGATGTACACTCATCAGACGAAAAGCGGAATTTCTTGCACTTCACGCCTGTCTTCTGTGTGGTCGTGGTATTTCACCGGGCAAGCCGGGCCAATTCGTGCGAAGATGGTAAAGCGAGCTCTACCACTGTTAAAAATTGTATTATAATAATTTGTTACAGTGCCAAAATACTCATACGTACATTTGGGACCTTACGATGCGGAAGTAAAAATAGGCAATTTGTCAAAGCGCTATCCCACGTTAGATGGTAAGGATTTGATAGCCAGTCGAAACGCGCGCCAGTTTTTAGAAGATTCGCGATTGCTTTTTAAATATGGCTTCTACACATTGCCGCCGCTAGACCCATACACCAGAGATTACATGCCAACATTTGTCTTTAATGATGACATACAAAAACTTAAGTAAGTAAACAAAACTTAGAACTTGTCCAACCCAACATACAATATCATGATATCGGCCTCTTACGCCTGCTGCTGAGCGAAGATTTCCTACAAAGATCGTCACGATCATCGGTCAGTCCACGGCCGCCCTGGTCCAGAATACCACAATCTTGATTACATCATCGATCTTGTGATAGGCCTACCTACGCTAATTCGATTTGTCCGTGGCTTCAGCATTACCTGCCGCATCATATATATGTAGTTTACGGTACTAAAAGCCTTTAGAAAGCTTTTACAAAACAGGGTTTGTTCGACAACATGGAAATCATCGAATCTGCGTGCGAGACAGTTCGTGATAATCATGGAAAATAACTTGAAGACATGGTTCAGAAACGAGACGGGCCTATAGTTCTTTAACAACATGCACATATAAATATGTAATTCAGTTAAATCACGTTTATAAATAATTTGCAGAGGTTATATTCAATTAAAGGATTATAACGCGACTGGATTGGTTAAATTTGTTCAAAATCTAGTGGAAGTACGACTTAAAACAGGAAGATTGGATTATGCATTGAATATACCGGAGCTCTTAGTCGGCGGTAAGTCTAGACGGCAATGTTATTTATATTTAATTCAATTTAATGTTTGTATAATGTTCTCAATATCTTGACGGCTCAGAATATCGCCCGAGTCGCTTTCGCTGCGCAGAACACAATTTATGGTACAGTGGGTGGAAAAGGAATGATGCTATGACGTTGAGCCGCTAAGATATTTGTAAAGCAGTATACTTTTTTAATGTGATATTTCGTCCTCTCGAAATTGGGGCGCGAGCGAGATAAAAAAAATTGTTTACAAGCTATGTGAATTGAAAGAAGATTTTATTATTTTAATGCAACACTGCAAACTCGCAGAAACATTAAATTTGAATTTTGTTACAGTGAATTTAAATTGTTACGTTATATGGGATGATAGGATTCCAATACACATTGAAGGACGATTAAGGTACATTTTTATAACAAATTTCAACTTTAACCAAAGGGAAATAACAATCGTGGAATACTAAATCCAAGTAAAACAAAGTATTAATAATATAATATGTACAATATCCCGTATGTTTGATTTAGTAAAAAAGAGATAAATAAGTCTACATATTTGTTCATTTTTACATTAGCAATCACTAATGCTTGAATAATTTGCTTTAGTCACTAACACTATTATGTGAAAAAATCAACACCATCGTCAAATTATTTTAATAATTTATTGCTATTAAACAGATCGTGAGCTAATTCTGCAGCCTTTAATGCCTCTTCTGCAGCCGAACACTACTGAAAGTATCAGGAATCATATGAGTCACTATAGCTGGTCACAATTTCTAAATTTAAGTAAAAATGGGTCACAATAAGCGATATGTTAAACAAGTCATTATATTAGACTTTGTTACAAAGTAAATTTTACTGTGGAATTAATTCATAATAAGCGTCAATATAAGTAAAGTCAGCGTCGATATAATAAGAAGTTTATTACATTTTCAGTTTAGCGCTTGAAGGAATAGCAGTACTAGGAGCCGTACAGACGAAACCTACGGAGCTCAACAACGAGTTAGTCTTACAATTGGTAGGTCAACACACTCGAATACACATCAGCGATGTAGCGGTAAGTTTAAAGCAAAGTGTACTGTAATATTATAATAAAGTATGATATACTTATTTATGGGTATAATGACACTTTTCTATAGTTATCGGAGAAAACGGTTTTACATATTCGTGACGTTTTATTTTTGTAGCTTAATTTCCTGAGGTGGTTTAATTACCATAGTTCTTTTTATATGTGGCCTAAATAAAGATCGTCGAAATGTTTATTTCAGATTGAATTCAGAGGGACCCGTTTTGATATAATGAGATCCTTAGGCGATTCGGGAACAAGTGGAACTAATCTTGGTGTACCTGATGACACATATACCAAACTAAAGGATCATATAGATAATTACGTGGCTAAACTCGTCTTTGACCAAGCTAACGAAATCTTGAATGGGCCAACAGTAAAACAAATATTAGCCTACCTGTTACACAAATATTAGAGATTAACAATTAACACCACGGATTTAGCGGGCCTATTTGTATCTTAAATATATTATATAAACAATTTGCGAGTTTTCATTTATTTTTATAAAAGTACTAAATCTTCAAAACCAAATATTACCAAATTCTAGAATACCTCATAAAAACTTGCTGACATGATATTTATTCGTTCGCCGCTAATGATCCTTCAAATTGATTAGCTTCAAGACTGCTTCCGTAGCTTGAAGCTCAGACCAATATAAAAAATTTCTTTGAATATAACCATTATAAATAATTTACTTTCAGTGTCTACGGAACCGAAACTTTTACTTGTTATTAATTTGACCATATATAATATTATCCATATTTTTTGATTTTGGGTGTCAGTGGTACTGTCAATGTCGGCAAGTGTCAGTCTGACAGATTGTGTTGGGACACTTGGCAACACAACATGTCTGACAAACTGACATGTCAGTTTATCAGTTTATTTATAGTTATTTGCTATCAAAATTATTCCAAACGATAAAATCAAATAACAAGTAATCAAGTGTAACTTTTATGTAGTTTTTCATATTTTTATCTTATCGTATACATTGAAAATTACGTTTTATATATAAAACACATTTTAAACTATAGTGTACACTTTAGACCCCATCTAATTTGCAATGAAATATCTGGGATATGTGAGGTGACAATGAGAGTCTTAAAATAGATACAGATCAATTACGAAAGTCTACTTGCATTTCTATTAAAGATAAAATAGCGTAATCGATATCCATAGAGATAAACTGTAATATGGGAAGTCGAAGCAAATTTGAAGACATGTCCAGAAATGTGAAAAAAATGATGAGCTTTACCTTTATAAAAGGATTATTCCTGAACCCGGCGAAACTGTCGATTACGGCGTTCATTATACTTATTGCAGAGCTGATACTCAACATACTGATTGTGGAGAGAGTACCCTATACAGAAATTGACTGGAAGGCCTATATGCAAGAATGTGAAGGATTCCTTAATGGAACATTAGATTACAGTCAACTTCGGGGGGACACAGGTCCACTAGTCTACCCCGCTGGATTTGTTTATATTTATTCTATGTTTTATTTCTTAACAAATCAAGGACAAAATATAAAACTTGCTCAATATATATTCATAGGTATATATTTATTACAATTACACTTTGTTTTTAAGATTTATAAAAAGACAAGAAAAGTGCCGCCATATGTGCTTCTTATTACAATTTTAACCTCATATAGAATACACTCAATTCATGTTTTAAGATTGTTCAATGATCCAATAGCTGTTCTCTTCCTTTACATTGCTTTAAATTACTTTTTAGAATCAAAGTGGCACTTAGGAAGCATTTTTTATAGTCTAGGTGTTTCTATTAAAATGAATATTATACTGTATGCCCCAGCTTTATTCTTTTTTTATTTAGTAAATTTAGGTTTAAAAGATACTATCAAACAAATATTTTTGTGTGGATTAATTCAACTAGTTCTTGGTTTACCATTTTTAATAGTAGCACCAATTTCTTACTTGCGAGGAAGTTTTGATCTAGGTCGTGTTTTTAATCACACCTGGACTGTAAATTATAGATTCCTTGATGTAAAAGTGTTTGAAAATACATATTTCCATTTAACATTGTTAGCAATACATATTTTGCTGCTTGTAATATTTTTACCTATGTTTGTCCAATATTTTAAGAGTTATTGTAGACTAAGATATGTTCAGAAACAAGTTCAACCACAAATAGATGCTAAAAATGTTGAGAATAAGAGAAAAGCAAAAATGATGAAAGATAAATTAAAAGTACAAGAGGTAAATGAAGAAAAACTAACAAAAGACCAAGAGGAGTTCCTTAATTCATTTGAATCAATGCTACAAAAAACATCAAATACAAATGTGAAGAAGAAAAAAGTTGTAGATGAAAATGAGAAACTACATTACAGCATTAACTTTGAAATAATTTCTCAATTGTTCATTTTGCCTATGTTTCTGACCAACTTTATTGGGGTAGTATGTGCAAGGAGTCTACATTACCAGTTCTATTCATGGTATTTTCATAGCCTACCCTATCTTTTATGGTCTACCAATCTCTCTGTTATTGTAAGATTTTTGATCTTAGCCCTGATTGAATTCTGTTGGAACACCTACCCAAGCACTGATGCAACAAGTGCAATGTTACATGTGTGTCATCTTATTATTCTGTATAGTATTTATAAAAAGACATCGGCTGAATTAAGTGTAGCTTCAAAAGTTGAATAATGACTGTGTTGAAAAATCTCTTAAGACCTTTAGAATTAAATATTTAATTAAGATGTGTTCAATTCTGTTGTTTTTTATAATTTTAGTTTATCCTCTTCATTGTGGCATTTAAATAAATTTGTTTTGATATTGTTTTTCTAGGCTTATTTAATTTTCAAATCATAGGAAATTTTTTACCTAGATTCATGATTTAAGTAATGAAAAGTACTTGTCCGAATAACGAAATAATAATACTCAACTAAAGTACATAAAGAAATGACAATGTTATTTTTAAATTTATTCATTTTATTTTGATATTACTAGGTCCTCATACATTAAGTCAACTGTTAATTTTTACTTTAACAGATTAAAATGTGCAACTATACCCAGATGTAAATAGTCATATATCATAAGGGTTGACAAAAACAACAATATAAGCATTTTAAGGATTATTTATTATGAACCATATCAATACAACTAATCAAAGTAATGAAATCTAATTATAATCTTAAATTTAGAGCTAGAGGCGCATACTTCCTCTGATATCACAATATCCGTTACTCGACGCCTCGGCTCCGTAGTTCCAAACATTTTGCACGTGTATCAATCGGATTATAATCATGTTATACATCTATCTATGTAACAAGTTTACTAAAATATTACGCAGTGAAAGAGTAACAGTTTGTGATTCCACAAGAAATGTTTACAATATACAGTCAGTGTACAAGAACGCAGTCAAACTACACTTTGCTAATATAAGTTGATTCTTGTGACAACACCCGCATACGAAGCATCGTATTTTTACTACAGTTATACTTAAGGAGTATAACATAGTCATCTTCGCACGTAATTAACAAGTACAATTAGGATACTTTTTGTAAATACAGGTATTTGTCTATGAAGCAATTAAGTAAAAACCCATAAAAACTAAACTTTAAAGCAAAAATTAACTAAAAACACATTCCTTAAGTTTATTGTTTAATTTTTATCAATTGCCAAAAACATTGATTTTTGTTTTTAATTATTCTATGTTTCATTTTCTAATGAAAAGAAGTACAAAGTAGTTTTTTTATATTATAGTCAATAAACTATGAACCTATAGATTTCAAAGTCTATAATAATTTAAAAAGTTAGTAGCCTATTATTATACAGTACTCTACTGTTACTTGTCAAACGAAACAACTTATATTAGACAAAGAATAAAAGTATGAAGGTGTTTTACTACAAGCCAATTCCCATTTTCATTTGGATTATAACTCGTTCCGCAAATCAGAATAAAAGGAAGTCCATATCTTTGATCATACAATAACTTTATACTGTAAGATTAAACTTACGATTTTAAATAACATATATTGTTTGCTACTCAAATACACACATACATATGCATCATTAGATGTATGTATATAAGCTATTACTATAATAAGACTCGAATTAAATGTATGTAAAGTAGAACTTTACCTCAAATGTGACTATAAATTACTGTTAACTTGTGCACACCGGACCGCTTGCATTGTTTATGTCAATCTTTGAATAGTAGCTTTAGATTGTGTGATGTCAGTCCATAATACCTAATGTTTAAATTTAGTCCAAGATCATAAAGAGAATACGAGACATACAATAATGTAGGCTTTTTATAAATATATATGACATAATAGCTATATTTATGGCATTATATAAATACAAGACATCATAGATCCGTCCACCCGACGAGGAGATACAACGGCAGTCTTATATGACTGGGCTTATAGCTAGAGGTACATAGAATCGGTGGCTAAATAGCGTCTACACGAAGCCGAAATTTTTAGTTTTTATAGCGAGCAGTAGCTTGTGCTTGAGCACGTGTCGCGATGAGTAGAGCGGGATGTAGAGCCGCGAGATGCACGTGTTGGCGGTGGGCAGGTGCGCGTCGTCAGCCGGCCTGATCGTCACAGACGGCATTGGCTGGAAGCCCTCCTCCGACGCCGGCAGGGCGGGCGAGCCCGTCCAGAAGTACACCTGATGCAAAACAAATGCATTTTGTTTTAAATACACACCATTTCATATAACAATTTTATACTCTTTTAATTTGATAGTGATGATGATAAACTCGCAACTTACAATTGCTCACAAAGCTCATCTTTAAAATTTACAAGTACTTACCAGATCCTGTCGTTCAAGATGAGTCATTTTGTCAACGATGGCCCAAAGCCAGCGCTTAAACCGCACAAGCCGCTCGGGGGGCTCGCCGCTCTCGTCGTTAAAGCTTGTATAGGAGACCAGCGCGGCAACGTTGATGTCGCCAACACCGTTCAGCAAGAGCCGCAGGTCCTCAGCGGTTAAGCCCTCTAGGGAGGACTCGGGTAACACGTCCAGTACTCCCACACGTATCGACTGAGAGTAAAAATAATCAAAAATATTTTTAGCAAATTATTCAAAAGAAATTGCAAATAGGCAAGCAATAAAAATATTATTCGTAATGTACCTCGAGTGCTTTTTCCTGCGAGTGCAGCATACGATGTTGCGCGTACTTGCGCACGTAATCGTATACATTGAGAGCTGTTACTTCGATTTCTCGGCCACCGGGTACCAGCTCTACACAACCACCGCCTTCTTCTTCACACATTTCCAAACTAAAACAACAGATCAAAGTTTTAAAATCTTATAAATTACACTTGATGAGAAAATAGTTGTCCCAGCAATTATTTTTACTAATTATGAATAAAAATATTACCTAAAGTTGAGATCGAGAGCTGCAAATAAGGAATGAGAATCTCCATTCTCTGCGTCAGCGACAAGTTGGCGCAAGCTCTCGTAGACAACGGGGTCGAAGAACGCGAGATCGTGGAAACGAATCGGTCGGGCCAGTATGTATTTCAGCACGTGCCGATTAAGGAACATTGGACACAGTTCGTTTTGTAGCAGACACAGCCCAATGATTCTGTAAAGTAATATGTTATTGTATCAAAATTGTTAGAATGCACACGTGAAAGACAATGAAACAGTAAAAAGAAAGTTTTATGGTAAGAGATTTTAATTTTTAATAAAAAAAGTATGTATGATGTAAAAATATACACGCTTTATGATGTTACAGTGTATATTGTAAAATATCAAAGGATCTTTATATACACATTATAAAATATCACAATCGTTGCATGCATCTTATCAATAGTAGATGCATAACATTGCCTAGAATGAGAATATTAAACTATACGAATCTATTTGTGTGCATATTGTTTAATCGTACCTGCCAACATTCCTAAATGCGTTGATGCGCTCCGAGGTAGCACGTCCCTGTCGTGGAGAGTAGTAGCCTCGCTTGCCGGGCGAGTAGAACAGTGGCGCCGCGTCGTCTGCCGCTGCCGCAGATGAGCCCGCGCCCAGAGCAGCGCCCCCGCCGCCACCGCCACCGCCGCCGCGCTCCGACAGCGAGAACACGTCCAAGTCTAAACACCACAATCACATTACTCATACACATATACCACTATTAAGTAATTTATAAAACAAAACCGATAGAAAACAGACTTGACTTGTATATCAGAGGTGCTTGTGTTAAAATCGGAACTGAAATCATATGTTTACGACTTCCTAGGCGTGGACAAGTGTGACAATAGCTTTGTGATTACCTAGTATCGCTTCAGAAGGATTCATGACTATAAGGTCCATGGCCTCTCGCACTTTTTGTCTCAGTGCGTCTTCACTGGCAAGTAGGACTAAAAGCTGGGCAGGTGTCAATTCTAACAGCATCCCAGTGATTTTACCCGCAAATGTCGGATGGAGAGAATGTACCTGAGATAAAAATATATAAAATAAAAAATACATACATTATTACACATGTAACAGTTCTGAGATATGATTAGTAATGTATATTTTACTCACTCTCGGATATAATCTTTCGCCGAGCTGTGCCTGATGGAGGGTGAGATGTTCGTTGTGTCCGCCGGGTCGGTCACCACTGTACCCCGCGCCCTCAGTCCCCGGTGCAGCCTGAAACATTACAAAATATTATAGAAGTACTGTACTGCACTGTGTAAGTTAGCTAATAAATAAAATACAGAGTAATGTAGATGTTGTACCTGTGGCGAGTACGGCCTCGCGTCGACACTGAGCACGCGACGCGGCTCGCGCGCAATGGGAGGCCGTGGCGCCGCTCTGCCCGGCACCCGCCGCGCAGTGTCCTTAGCGCGCGCCCTGCCCGCACCGCTACTTCTATTCAACAGTACATGCCAAATAAAAATTATTCAAAATATTTTGACACACAATATGAATTGTCTTCAAAACTTTTCGAATTATTACTTATATTTTGCGATGTGAAAAATAAAAATTTACCGTGTTCCAGTGTTAGCGCTGGCGCCTGCATTTGTGCCGCTGGAGCCTGAAGTGCCGTTAGACGCGTTGCTGTTAATACCACTGCCCGATGTCGACTCCAGCGGGGGCAGTTTCTCGTTTGCTAGTAGCGCCTGTTACAAAATACATTTGTTTGATCAATATCACTCAAGCAAGATATAACTCTTTTCAAATATCTTTGGCCGCCCTAGGTCATAGGCTCACTCCGCATCTCGCTACACTTAATAATGTGTTCTGCACACGCCTCGAGTAAAGTTTAGAGCGGCCAAGATATCTGAAAACATTTATAACAAGCATGTATGCATGTCTGTGTGTGAACGGATGTGTTACCTCAGCGACGCTGGTGTAGAAGGACCTGGCAACACCGCTGCCCTCCCCGGGCTCGTCACGGAACGTCACCTTGACACGGTTGACGGCGAGTGGCGGCTGTGCGCTGTGCGCGCGACGGTTCTGCCCCGCAAACGCGCTATTCAACTCCGCGAACGTCTGCTGTAGCAGCTTCGCACGGTCGCGCTCCATCTTTAGCAAGGAAACACCAAATATAAGACAAAATTTTTAGATCCTTTAATGAAAACGATACCCAAGTGAGTTAATAGAAATATCTACTAGAAGTAATCAGTGGAGATGAATTAATTTAGAAGATTTCCGATTTTTTATACATAAAATTTGTAGGTGTCTCCCGAGTGATTTTGATCCTTATGTTACCTTATGCAGAGTCAAATCTTTTTGCTGTGAGTTGCGCAACTTCTCCATGTCGCGC